GGATTGATAGAAATAGGCTCACCATATAATTATCATCCAAATCGATAAACTTTTGAGGGTGCTGGAATTTTAAGCCAGACATGACAACGGGTATAACCCAGGACTGCCTCAGGCATACTAGAATGTATGGTCATTCATGTATAAAGCTCACTGGTGTAATCGCATAAACCCAAACTGACTGGGATGAAATGCTATAGCCACTGCAAGATCATTTGGGCTGGCATTCAATGCTTGACATTGGCTTCTTATCTTTGTCACACAACCCTGTCTCTTGCTTGGCTTCTCTGCCATGAGTTACCAGTGATTTCTCCTCTAGACATTTGTTTAAAAGTTCAACTATTGTGCAAGTTCTAAGCAGCTCTTGACTCCCTGGTTTTGGTCTTTTTCCTTCGGTTCCACCATCTTACCTTTCCCAGACCTCTTTCTGCTGCTCTAAATTTTAATTAACATAATTCCTTGTTTGTCTCACTGTCATCCTTTATTTCTCTTCTCTCCCCACTATGTTCCCTGGTTTTCTATTGTTTATTTGCTTGCTTGCTCTCACGCATCTCTCTTCTTTTGAGGCTCCAGTCCAAAGCTGTCAGTTACCTATTGTTCTGTTTCCTGTTAGTTAACCTCTGATCCTTCATAAATTAAATTTGACAAATCCCTTGATTAACAAAGGATATGCACAAATCACAGTAAAAGGGGTACATAGAAGTCAAAGATGTTTGAGGATTCATCTATTCATCACATCACTTCTATAAACATCCAGGAAATGGGGTGTAACTACAAGTGCGTTCAGTTACTACAGAACAGTAAATTTTTCTTACAAGTATTATATTTCTTTAACAGAAATTATTAAAGACACAAATTGTCTTCTTGATACAAAATAAGTACTTGATGAATTCTTGTTGGAATGGGAACACATCTGGGCTTTAGGGCAGAATTCTATGTGATAGGCAAGTGTTGGAAAAATTCAATTTGAAGGTGCTGGCACCTGGGAGGGGCTCAATTCTTCCTGTTACTAAAGTATTTCCAAAAGATAGAAACCTTTGCAGCATGTTTATATGTGACCCATCCAGGATGACTCTTTAGACCAATTATGGATAAAATAATTTATATTCAGGCTTTGACATTTGGCTTTGTCACTTACTTTTAAGCAATTGAGTAAAATGTCCATATGATAATAATGGATGATAGAAAACTAAAATTACTAGAGACATAAAAATCTCTAATGAGTTTCACTCTAAGGTTATCTCTATGCTAAACTACAGGATTATAGGAGACAGGGAAGAGGAGTTTCTGAAGTATTTTGTGGGGAGGTCACAGAATAAGAACTTTTTCCCACTCTGAGAAAATGAAAACCAGTCATAAGGTGAAGAGAGTGGTGGCTTAATGTTTAAAACACAGGTTTGAATACATTTCCTGTTAAAGGAACTAAAATTGAGAGCATTAGGAACATCTGTGCCACTCTTCCTAGAAAATGTTTCTCTGAGGTCGTTTCCTAGAGCAGGGAATCTGTTCTTATTGTAAAACTCCTGGAGAAGGCTGAAAAGAGCAAAGGAAACAGGAAACAGAATTCAATTTGTGGAAAGCTCTGGAAAGAAAAGCAAATCATTGAAAATGCATCTCCCTCTGAAGATTCTTAAAACACAGAGGCTGAATATAAAAAATCTGGCATAGAGATAGGTTAATGAGAATGTGGTGTGCCACTGACCAAATGGGGGGTGTTTTGAGTTTGTAGACTTAATTCTGTTTCTTCACACAAATTCTCTCCTAAAAGATGCCCCCTCAAACAGTCTTTTTCACATTTTTTAAGACGGGTTTCAGAATCAAGTTCATATAAATCCACCAGAAGTTATTTAGCCTAAACTAGCAGGGACCTAGTAAATTTTGAGTTCTAGGAGATTTTAGACACAAAGAATTTAAATGAGCCCAGATCTTTCCTGCCTCAGATTTCCCTGAACAGAACAAGGATACTATTTCGTTCTATGTCTTTCTTTGAGAAAATAAATTTCTCAGAATGGGTGAGTTCATTATTGCTTTCTGAAGCATACTGACTGGTCCTTTGTAGCCTCAGATTGAGAGGCAATTGAATGATGGGTGTCTGTTATTCTGGGAGCAGGAGTTGGACCTTGCTGGTGGGGGACTGTTGGAGATGACAGATGTACTGAGGAAATTGCTAGAGTTACATGTGTCCTATATGGCTAGCTGGATATGTTAAGAGGTTTTCAGAATTGTGCTGCAGCTGCTAGGCAGCCAGGACAGCCCAAGAGCTTCTGAGACTCCTGTCAGGGGAATAGGAACAGGTTTCAAGGTCTCTCCTTGATGACTGACACAGCAGTGTCCAGTGTCCAGTGGAGGTCACATGGGAATACTTGCCTCTGTAGCTCTAAGCCCCAGATCCAGCGTTTCCCTAGAGTTCACATGCTGTGTGATAAGATAATGAAGATTTATTCCATTTACCTTGCAGGCTGGCCCCTGGAGAAAGACTGTAAGTCATCTTGAGAAAAAAAAAAAAGTCACCATCTGTTACAGTGCTTATTTTCTGCATTTGGTGGGTGTCACATTGGTCTCTTGATGCTCCTCAGCTTATTGTCCCTTTTCCTATGTCTCATGCAAAAGGAAAGTTGGAAAGTTGTGGAAGTTTGTAGGACTGGGTCACTGGGCTATTAAGAAGAGCTGAGGGGGGCAAATGGAGCTGAAAAAAGCCCTGTTCTGTTTGCCCCATCATGTTTCCTAATGTGGGGCTGAGTTGGCCTAGAGGAGGAAGCTTTTTTTCCTTTGCACAAAGACACTGTGCAGTCCAGCAGCAGCATGGCTGAGGCATCTGGGGTTCCTTGAGACTGAGTACCTCTGATTCTACTGTAGAGGCCTAAGATCTGTAACTGCTGAAGGCAAGCCTTCCCAACTATTTTTTCCATTCCATCAGTGGACACCATGGTAAAGAATAGCTATAGCATCCCCTTCATCATCTTTTTGGAAATCATAACTTTACTGGCCACTTATCCTGCTCTGGGAGGGGTAGAATGGCCTGTTGTCTTTAGGAACAGTTGGGTTTTCAAGCTGTTTGTTATTATTATAATTTTTACAATAATCTTTTATTTTTTTAAATTTTTATTTATGAGAGAGAGAGAGAGAGAGAGAGAGAGAGAGAGAGAGAGAGAGAGAGAGAGAGGCAGAGGGAGAAGCAGGCTCCATGCGGGGAGCCTGACGTGGGACTTGATCCTAGGTCTCCAGGATCACACCCTGGGCTAAAGGGAGCGCTAAACCGCTGAGCCACCCGGGCTGCCCTTTACAATAATCTTTTAAATAGGGTGTTAATCCTTCCTAAAAAACACAATCTTTGACAATCTCCTCTATAGATGATGGACCTACTTTTTTTTTTTTCTTTTTAAGATTTATTTATCCATTCCAGAGAGGAGGAGGGGAGGGAGAGGGAGAGGGAGAGAGAAACCCAAGCAGAGTACTCATCAAGTGCAGAGCCCAGGCGGAGCCTGAGCCGGGTCCAACAGGGTCCAACACCAGGTGGCTGCAGGGCCCTGAGATCACAACCCCAGCTGAAACCAAGAGTTAGATGCCCAACTGACTGGGCCATCCATGTGCTCCAGTGATGCACCTACTTTTAAAGGTTATCTGAACTTAGAGTTCCTTAAGAAGACAGGAATCAGAATTGTGAGAGAACACCTAGTGTGATAAATACATGCTGGCTTCCTCTAACCATCCTGGTTGGCTGGGAGCTTCAACCCTGGGCTGCAGTAAAGGATCCTTTTGTGACACGGAGCACCTTCTCCACCGGGCTGCACCCAAGCTGTGATGGTGATTTTAAATGTGCTCTTTTACCCAAGTGTTAGCTTATGTAAAGCTCTTCTGCCCACCATACAGTCAATGCTGAAAACTGCTGGCAATCATAATCTTATTAAAGTGGGAATGACATATACTTCACAAGGTCATATTAAATGTTATATAAAGTGCCTACCTGATATCCATAACACATTTCATTGAATCCAAGTTGTACCATTATTTTAGGTACCCCTAAGAAAGATAAAAATAGTAACTTTCAATTATGCTATAATTACAGTTAGGGAAGGCAGATCCCAACTCTAGGTTGTCAAATGTGAACATTTTCACACTAGCCTCAAAACCTTTTTCTCTCCTCTTTCCTATCTAATTAGTAAGGAGTCCATGCTTCCCAGAATCTGAGATTTTCCTTTTCCATTCTTTCCCCTAGGGTCTCCTACTTCCTTGGCTACAAGGGCTTAACTGTAAGCACTGTTTTTTTTTTTTTTTTTTAACACTATTCAACAACAAAAAGAAAAAAAGGAACAAACAATTGATCCATGCAAGGACCTGGATGAATCTATAGATTATGTTGACTGAAATAAAGCCAGTTCCAAAAGGTGATACATGGGATGCCTGGGTAGCTCAGCAGTTGAGCATCTGTCTTTGGCTCAGGGTGTGATCACGGATCCTGGGATGGAGGCCCACATCGGGCTCCTTGTGGGAAGCCTGCTTCTCCCTCTGCCTGTGTCTCTGCCTCTCTCGAATAAATAAATAAAATCTTTTTTTTTAAAAGGTGACATATTGTGTGGTTCTACTTGTATGACATTATTAATTTTTATTTTTAAGATTTTTTTAGAGAGAGCAAGAGAAGAGAGAGTGGAGGATAGGGGAGGTGCAGAGGCAGAGAGTCTTAACTAGACTCTGCACTGAGCAGAACCTGAGTTGGGGCTTGATCTTATAACCCAGAGATCACAACCCTGAAATCCACGACCTGAGCTGAAACCAAGAGTTGGAAGCTTAACCAACTGTGCCACCCAGACACTTCTGTATGACATTTAAAAAATGACAAATTATAGAGATGAACAGGTCAGTAGTTTCTGGGGGGTTAGGAAAGGAAGGAACCAGAGAGGAAAGATGTGGCCAAAAAAAAAAAAAAAAAAAAAAAAAGACAACAGAAGGAATCTCTGTGATGATATTCTTTTATATCTCGACAATATCAATGTCAATGTTCCAGTTGTCATATTTTACAGTAATTTTGCAAGAAGTTCCTGTTGGAAGAAAACAGATGAAGATTCCACAAAATCTTATTGTATTATTTCTCACATATATTTTTTTTAAAGAAGATTTATTTATTTATTCATGAGAGACACACAGAGAGAGAGAGGCAGAGACATAGGCAGAGGGAGAAGCAGGCTCCTCACAGGGAGCCTGATGTGGGACTTGATTTCAGATCCTGGGATCACACCCTGAGCCAAAGGCAGATGCTCAACCGCTGAGCCACCCAGGTGTCCCTTTCACATATATTTCTTGTATATGAAATCCAGTTATCAAAATTAAAAAGTCTGATTTTCAAAATCTGGCTTCAACATTGTGATACAAAGATCCAAAGGCCTAATTCTAAGTTCATTATATTTCAATACTTGCTTTTGTGCCTTTTAAGGTTGTAAAAGATACTTCGCAAATGCACAGATGCCCACAAGTTAGAGTTGCTATCATGGAAAAGACAAGAAATAACAAATGCTGGTACATATGTGAAGGTTTGTTAGGGATCATATTGAATCTGCAGATCAATTTGGGGATTAACAATACTGTCTCCCAAACATAAAACACAGTGTCTTCACTGAATTAGATCTTGTGTAATTTTCTTAAAAGCTGTTTGATTTCTGTCAGTTACTGGTAATACTCCCTCTTTCATTACTGATTTTAATAATTTGAGACTTCTTGGTCAGTCTAGCTGAAGGCTTGTTAAATGTATTGATCTTTTCAAAGACCTCACTTTTGGCTTTGATTTTTTTTTTTCTATTCTCTATTTCATGATTTCTGCTTTAAGCTTTATTTCCTTCTTTCTGTCTCTGTTGGGTTTATTTTGCTCTTCTTTTTCTGGTCTCTTAAGATAAAATATAGATTATTTTGTCTTTTTTAATATTTGTTTTTTATTTGGTTTTTGGTATCAATTTTATACTATCATGATTCCCCTGTATTGCTTCAATCTCATTGTGAATTCAACTGCTTAGCATTCTTACTCTTATATATGAGGTAAATGAATATAAAAATAAAACAAAAACTTCTTCCTATTTACCTAAGGCTTTCAGTCTAGTATTTAGGTTTGTATCTTTTAGTGATGTATATGTATGCCCTTAGAATTAATGGCATGGTGATCTGACCAGACACTTCATGTAAACAGAAACTGAGGTGAAATTCAAACTTGAAATAGGAAATGTCAAGTTTCTCCAAGAACAAATTTATATAACATCAAAGGTGGCAGAAAGGGCAAATAAAGGTCAAGAACAGAACACTTTCCTACAAAATAATCTAAATCTCATCAAATGCTCAGGATACTATTCATCTAGTCTAGCCTAACAAGTACAAGGTTATTAATATAGCTGATATATTATTTGGATAAGCAAACATCATAATTTCAAAAGAAATAATAGCAAAGCAGAAATCAAACATTTCAAAACAAATTTTTGGTTATTCTGTTTATTTCAGTTGGGACACTCAGTGGACATTAACTGGGTTACTTAAATGTCATTTCAATTAGGAATCTCTTTAGTCCTTTATCAATTATTTCGAGTGTTCTAGTCTCAAATACATTCCTTTCTTCTACAAACTTCTGAAAGAGATGAATACCTCCACCTACACCAAAATAATGTGCTTTGCTGGCCAAAAGCACCCGTCCATTTTTATCTAACAATCTAAGGAATGTCTGGTGCAAAGTACCATAATAATCTGGATTGTAAATGGTTTCTGAGGTGAGAATGAGATCATATTTTTCAAAGAATTTTTCACTATTTAGTACAAGCTTACAAAACTCAGACCACTCCCCAGAAAAGAACCGGCATTTAGATAATTCTTGTGCTACTTCTGATTTCCTGCATCTTTTCACATCAGGTTCATTTACATCATTTCCTTCGTCTTCCAAAGTAGAGTTAGCCACTACGTTAGGTAAGGTTACTTCATCAATCACCAAAGTGTTATAATCTTGAAAATGAATTTCTTTGGCCCCTCCCTTGAACGCAACTATACCCAGCAACCCTGATCCACAGCCAAGATCCAACACTTTTTTCCCAACAAATTTCACCTTGGCCTTTGTGAAATATGCTAGGAGGTCAAAGGTACATTCCCAGATTTTTAAGCCTCCTTCATAAACACCTGTGATCAGATCAGAGTGAGAAGAAAAACTTTGTGAAATTATGTTTTCTCCAGGGAAATTCTCTTTCAACAAGATGGTTTTCACTACTGATACATGTTGGAGACCTGGTAATGTCTCTATGACTTTGTTTTCTAACATTTTCTTTAAATCTTCAGGCATTGTATGCTCTTTGGCAACTCTCTTGTAGGGATGTTCTTCCTGTGGCTCCAAGTTACTTGAACTGTTTGCTGCAGTGAGTGAGCTGTCTGTGTCTTGAGAGGGAGCTGCATTTCCCAGTTGCTTATGTTCCAACAAATGATTCTGAGGCAAGTTAAACTGTTCTGTAGAACATTTCCTGTCCCTGTGTTTACCTTCTGACACTGAAGACTCTTTGGAGGAATCCACAGCCAAAGCTCCATCTCCAAGGGGCATTGATTCATTTTCCAGGTGGTTTACTATGGTGAAATTAAACTGAAAAGTCATCCTCTCACTAAAGGCACACAATCCTTAAATTCAAATGAAGATTCTTCTACTTCTGGATAGAACCGATGACACACACATAAACCTTGCTTCAACTATTCAGTTAGTTTCACTGAGGATTAATTTTTCTATAGCTGCTTATATGCAGTTACAAATATTTACTGATGTTTCCAAATGACTTTTTAGAGGTCTTTGATCTTCTTTCAAAATAGCTCTGAGGGGGGGGAAAAAAGAAAAGAATTCTTATTAAAAAGTAAACTGAGGGACACCTGGCTGGTTCAGTTGGTAGAGCCATGTGACTCTTCTTTCAAATTAGCTGGTTCAGTTGGTAGAGCCATGTGACTCTTCTTTCAAATTAGCTCTGAAGGGGGGGGGGGGGAAGAAAAGAATTCTTATTAAAAAGTAAACTGAGGGACACCTGGCTGGTTCAGTTGGTAGAGCCATGTGACTCTTGATCTTGGGGTTCTGAGCTCAAGCCCCACATTGAGCGCAGAGCTTACATAAAAACAAACGAACAAACAAAAAGCTTTTAAGAAAGGTAAAATGATATATTTCAGTAATGTAACATTAACCAGTATCCTGCTCTGTTACACAGCTGCCTTTTCTGTAAAAGCTGTGTAAGGAGAGATCCCTCTCTTAAAAAGAAACACATACACTCTTCAGAGTTCAAAAAAACGGGAAAGAGAATAAACTGTAAAAACAAACAAAAGGACAACAGAACAACGTGAAAAACACATAAGGTCCAAAATTGTCAGGCCGCAAAGGACAAGCCTACCTTAGTCTCTCACCCATCACGACTCTGTCCAAACATACCTACCCCCTAAACTGCCACCATCTCTTCACTGCGGTCTGTTACTGTTTCAAGCAACAAGCCTTTAAGATTTTATTTTGGGAAGTGAGCATCCCCTTAGAAACCTGCACGGGGTATGCTCCGGTGTGCGTAAATTCATCCAAATGACCTCACCTACAAACATCTAGCGAAGACCAGCAGCCCTAGATGCAAAGCAGCAGGAGAATTTTGGAGTAATCAGTCAAGATTAGTTCGGTGGTAGAGAAACAAAATAAGGGCACTGACTGCAGAGGCCCTTATAAAGTGGAGCAACTTGGTTGAAACTCTTCACAGGATCGACCGTGCTAGATACTCTGTAATACCATCTGCTTCAGTTTGCACAACTCCGGCAGGCGGGGTCTTTATTTCCATCACACGAGACAGACGAAGTTGGGTGGCACGGTGAAGCGGGTAAAAAGGCGCCGGTGGGGGATCCCTGGGTGGCGCAGCGGTTTGGCGCCTGCCTTTGGCCCAGGGCGCGATCCTGGAGACCCGGGATCAAGTCCCACGTCGGACTCCCGGCATGGAGCCTGCTTCTCCCTCTGCCTCTCTCTCGCTCTGTGTCTATCATAAATAATAAACAAATAAATAAATAAATCTTAAAAAAAAAAAAGGCGCCGGTGTCTGCCTACCCCACCGCGCCCTGAGGCTTGCATTCATTTTCTGGCTGCAGGTGCCAGTTGCACCCAGACCGCGGCTGTGCGGTCTCCAAGCCCGATGGGACAGACCGTAGCAAACCTGGGGCCTTCCGCCTCTGGGGATCTCCGCAAAGCGCCTGAGTGCAACGTTTCCAGTGACCAGGACCTGAGTACGCTCACCGCCCGGGAAGGTCCCAGCGCCCAGGGCCCAGGGCCGACGAACCCCGCGCCAACTCGGACCCTCGGGAGGGGCAGCGCGCACCCGCGAGGCGAGCCCTCCGCCGCCCAGACTAGCCCGACGGCCTCCCCAGCCGCGCGCGCCAGGGCTCCCTAGGAACGCGCCCGGCCTCCTCTCTATGGTTACGGGCGCCGGCGGAGAGCTCGCAAGGCCTGCCGGGACGGCGGGAGCTTCCGGTCTTGGCGGTGGCGGGAGCGGTTTGAAGCTGTGCTGGTCGGCGAAATATGTCTCAGGAACGCGCGGCCCCGGCGAGCGCGGCTCCCCTGGAGGAGTTAAGCGGCTGGACCGAGGAGCTCTGCCGCCGGGAACTGCCGTCCGTGCTGCCCCGGCTCCTTATATCCTTCACTGTCGGCTCCACCCGGAGGGGGTTGGGGCAGGTGTCGCAGCCTTTCTGTGGCCTCTTCCACGGGCCGCCGGGCCGTGTTGGGGTCCTCGCTGATGAGCCAGATGGGGGGGGGGGAGGGGGAGGGGGCGGGCGGGGGCCTCCGCTTGGCGCTGGAAGGGCTCGCATGATGCTCCGCCCTATGATCTTGGCCGTGGCCGTGGCCGTGGCGCTTTCTCCATCCCTTTGTGCCTTTGGGTTTTTCTGTACTTGTCACTTGCGGTTAAGCGTCGAGGCACCTTCGCCTGGGGGGCAGGGGAGGCAGGCCCTCAGGCCCGAGCTCTCAGGTGAGCTCCGACTCCTAATAGCTGGATGAGGTTAGGGAGATGCTCCGAGCGCTCGCCGCTAAACTGGATGGTGAATATGGATGCCTTTCTCAGGATGAAGAGAATTAGAGGACGTACATCTGCCACGGTGCCATGTGTGTAACAGACGTCCTGTAATAAAAATGTTCTTCTCAGACCTCTTTGGGCTTTATTGCTGGTTAGAAGGAGGTGCTTCCTTTTGTAATTGGCTTTCACATACTGAGTTTGAGTCATTAACGTCTCCGTGGTCCAAGTGCATACTGTTTTTTCTCGTGCTTGTGAATGTGCCTGGAATCCTAGCTCTCCATGTTAAAAGGTAATTTTTTTTTTTAACATCTTTGAACTCACCTTTTTTTTTTTTTTTTTTTTTAAGATTTTGTTTATTTATTAGAGACACACAGAGAGAGGCGGAGGAACAGGCTCCATGCAGGGAGACCCACGTGGGACTCGATTCCGGGTCTCCAGGATCAGGTCCTGCACTGAAGGCGGCGCTAAACCGCTGGGCCACTCGGGCTGCCCAGGAGCTCACCTTTCAACATAAGCTACGCTTAAAAGAAAAAAAAAATGACCTTCATTGTAGAGAGTTTCAATTTTTTTTTTTTTTTTTTTTTACATCTGAAGGCAATTCTTCATATTACCCTTATGTAGAAGTTTTTCACATAGGCATGGGCAAAACCCCGCTTAGGTACCAAAGCCGTCTCTTAGTCATTGTGTGGATTCGGAATCCCTGTCTTGAAGGATTTCCACTCGGGAAATGCACAGCCATCCTCCAACTTCAAAACCTTTACTGGTTACATAATACATACCAAGCAGGGTGTTAGGCTTTGGGGGAACAAAGATAAGGAACATGGTTCCTCTTTTCTCCTTCAACCTTATGAGGGACTTCAGTTATTGAAGGAAACATTTCCACTTGGTTTTGCATCTCAGACTTAACATTCAAAAGAACCTAAACCTGTTCTCCCCCCCCTCCTTTTTTTAAAGGTTTTTTTCCATTTATTCATGAGAGACACAGAGAGAGGCACAGACTTAGGTTGAGGGAGAAGCAGGAGAAGCAGGGAGCCTTACTCGGGACTCCATCCCAGGACTCCAGGATCACCGCCTGGGCGGAGGGCAGAGGCTAAACTGCTGAGCCACCCAGGGATCCCTTTCCCCCAATTTTCAACACTTTTCAACAAATGAAAGATATGTTTTTAGTAAATCTATACAGTCACATCACCCAAACATAATTATTTTCATGTTTTGAACTTTACATATTATTTTCCTGTCTTTACTTGCAGCATGTCTACATAATCATTAACTTAGGTTTAATTTTGGAAGGGTACAACATTTTTTTGACCATTGCTGAAATTTTTCTGTAAGACAAATTCGACCCTATTAAACTAAATAAAATGAACTGACTATACCTCATTTCGATTTCTGCTGTAAAATTCATATGCAAAGTAAGATGTCAGAAGAAGGATCAATTCTTGTATTAATGTGATGAAGTTTGTTCATTTTTCTTACTGACACATTCTTTAATCTTATTTTACAATAAAACATTTTTAACAGTTCCTGATGGTATACAAGTGTACAGTTTATAATATAATTACTATTGTAATGAACATAGGATAATTTAATGTCACATATTTGTGTTTGCTATGCGCAGAAGAATTTCAGTCTGATACAGTTGGTAAGAGATACACAAGTAACATGGAAAGGAGACAAAGTGTTGAGTGCAAATAAAATACTGGAGAGATGTGAAGGAGGAAGAAATTTCTTTCCGTTTTAGAAACCAGAAATCCATGGATAATATAGTACTAATTCTCATCTGTCAAAAGTATATCAACTATACATAGTTTGAAAAGACAATCTTATCCCTGCTCAATTTTGAAAGTATTTCCTTGAAGTATTTTCATTAAACTGTAGTCTACCTAAGAACATTAAATTTTTAAAAGCAAATTAAGCCAGTAAATTGAATCTACTTTCAGTTTCTTACTGATCATTGCCTAATCTTAAAGAAGGCTGTTTTTTAGATTTGTTCTTAGTAGTGAACATCCTATTACTGTGATACTAGTGTCTTCCTTAATTTTTTTACTCTATGTATCAGCATTCCGACAGTTGGATCGAGCATATTCGTAAGTAAAATTATCTTAATTGTTTAATATATTTTGATGTCATTACAGTCTGAGTCCAACATATCTCAGTACAGTTTCATATTCCTTTCAAATGTGTTCTATTAGTGTTAGAGCCTCTGTAAATTTCAGTTACTTAAAATGACCAAATTCCTTTAAATTGTAGTACTTAAAGTTTTAAGCTCTTTTTTAGATGGATACCAGAACTGTTGATAATGTCCATATAAACACATTGATATTTTAAATGTTAATTGTTAAACTGGTTAGACCTATGTAAAACATAATTTGCAGTCTGCTCTCGGTTGACTTTCTCATCTTTATCTGTGTTCTTTAATCTTACTTGGATTTTTTAATTTACTTATTTGGTTAGGAGAAGAGATGAATTAAAGACTAGACTACACAGTTTACTCAAATTTGAGTTATTCTGTTTGCACTTCAGTTGGTTGTGGATATTTATAATTTTCAACTATGTTGACTTTTGAGTCTAGTTTTTTAAAGTTTTTTTTTTATCCTGAGTATGAGTTATACATTCACTGTAGAAAATTTGAAACAGCGGGCAGCCCCGGTGGCGCAGCAGTTTAGCGCCGCCTGCAGCCCAGGGCATGATCCTGGAGTCCCGGGATCAAGTCCCATGTCAGGCTCTCTGCATGGAGCCTGCTTCTCCCTCTACCTGTGTCTCTGCCTCTCTCTCTCTCTCTCTCTCTCTCTCTCTCTCTCTCTGCATCTCTATGAATAAATAAATAAAATCTTAAAAAAAAAAAGAAAAAGAAAATTTGAAACGGGGATCCCTCGGTGGCTCAGTGGTTGAGCACCTGCCTTTGGCCCAGGGCATGATTCTGGAGACCTGGGATCGAATCCCACATTGGGCTCCCTGCATGGAGCCTGCTTCTCCCTGTGCCTGTGTCTCTGTCTCTGTGTGTGTTTCTCTTATAAATAAATAAATAAATAAATAAATAAATAAATCTTAAAAAAAAATTTTAAAACATGCAGAAAATCAGAAAAGATAATGAAACAATCATTCAGTAGATGTACCCACATCCAACATGGTTAAGGTTTTGGTATAGCACGTTCTCATCTTGATTCTATACATTCTTTCTAGGCTATTATTATTTGTATATACATGTTTAGATATAGTAAGATTGGGAGTATACTAATTTGGAAGCTTAGTCATTTAGCCTTAAAGTATTGTGAATACTTTAATAGTGTTTTTTTTTTTAAGATTTTATTCATTTATTCATGAGAAACACAGATTGAGAGAGAGAGAGAGAGAGAGAGGCAGAGACACAGGCAGAGGGAGAGGCAGGCTCCATGCAGGGAACCTGATGCGGGACTTGATGCCGGGACTCCGGGATCATGCCCTGAGTCAAAGGCATTATGCTTAATTGCTGAGCCACCCAAGGATCCCCTTTTTCATAGTTTTAAATGATCTCTAACAATAATTTTAATGATAGCAAATCCTATTCAGTAGATGTACCCACATCCAATAAGTGGTCCTCAATGGCTGGACATACAGAATCTTTTTGAGCTTTTGTTTTCATGTTATTATTTCAGATATTTAATAGTTTCTCTCCATAGGGGCATCTGGGTGGCTCAGTAGTTAAGTGCCTTCTGTTCAGGTCACAATCTCAGGGTCTTGGGATCCAGCCCCGTGTCCTGCTCCCTGCTGAACAGGGAGTCTCCCTCTCCCTCTCCTCCCCACCCCCAACTTGTGTATGTGTGTGTGTGTGTCAAATAAATAAAATCTTTAAAAAATAGTTTCTTTACAGAGAACATGGCATTTTGAAACTGTTGTACAAGGCTTCAGATTGGTAGTACTTCCATATTTTTGTGTTTGGGGAAGGGTGGTAGTGATCTCTGTTGACTGACATGATTTAATATTCTAATAAAATATGTTACTGTTTTGCTTTATAGAAATTCTGAAGATTATTGTGGAAATGTTTTTACCTCATATGAACCACCTGACACTGGAACAGACTTTCTTCTCACAAGTGCTGCCAAAGGTGTAATATCATTTTAATCAGTCTACATGTTCTAAAGGCTGTTTTAATCTAGCCTCAATTTTAGATCATTTGTTCTTAACTGTGGCTCCTTTTTTCCTAATGTATCAGCATATCTGAAATACAAATAATGTATTTGTACATCAGAAATAGATCTCATGTGAGAACATGATGGTGAGTGTGATCATTAGGTAATTAAAAATTATTTTAAGTAGTATAGATCCTTTACTAACTGAATTTACATTATTTATAGCTAATTTTAAATACTCTTGTATTTCATAGCAATTCAATGAAAAATTAAGATTGATGAAGTTAGCTAAGTATCTTCTCTGTAGTTTATTGTTAAATTTCATTGTCTAGAAAAATGGAGCCAATTTTTAGGAAAAGATTATTTTAGAAAGAAAATGGCACAGGAGTGATCATGGGGGAGGGGCAGAAGAAGAGGGAGAGAAAGAATCCCAAGCAGACTCCCCACTGAGTGCAGAGCCCGACACAGGGCTTGATCTCATGACCCTGAGACCGTGACCTGAGTTGAAACCAAGAGTTGGATGCTCAACTGACTCAGCCACCTCGGCACCCCAGGAGCCAAATTTTATTAAAGAAGTCTTAAAATTAAAAAGAGCCTAGAATAACCAAGAGAAAACATTAAGTTCACCAACTACATTATTACCTTTTAGATATATTGGTATACCTTTTCTCTGAAAAGAGACTTTTTTTTAATTGTAGGAATTAAAGGTATTTTCTTGCCAAAAATGAAACATTTTAAAATGATTTCTAGGTTTAGCTTTGAAGCAGATAATCATCAAGATTCCTATTACTCATATTCACTTGATTGTTCTCAATCTCATCTCTGTCTCAAAGTTTCTTAGAATTTTTTCTTGACCAGCAGAAAAAGATCTAGCTGTTACATATATGATATATATGTATAATTTCATTTACTTTATTGAGTGCTGTTGTTAAACCAGATAATATCCCATAGCTATTACTAATGAAAAATTATCTGATTTTTTTTTCCTTTAAAGATATGTCTTCCCTTTGTAGTGTTTTCTGTTACTCTTTATTTATAATGTGCTTGCTTTTCACAGACTGTGAAATTATTTGATGACATGATGTACGAGTTAACCAGTCAAGCCAAAGGACTATCAAGCCATAATTTAGAAATCCAGACCACTCTAAGGAATATTTTACAAGTATGTCAAATTTATTAGGAAGGACATAGGGAAAGAGCTTAAACACTGTAAGAGTTTTTATACTGACAGTAATTAGCTATGTATCCTTTATGTAGTGACTCAGTGTTGGAATTAAATTTATAGAATTAAAGATATGAATGCAAAAAGATAAATTTTGTATTTTTTAATACAGTTTCATGCTGAGTAAACATCAAACTTGTATCAGACAACAAATAATCAAGACAGCATGCCTTACCTGTAATTTTAAAGCATATATGTACAACATCTGCTGTATGCTTTGATGTGTGGGTTAGGATTCCAACTTTTTTTTTAAACCAAATGGGAGCCAGTTCTTCCAATATTTGTAGTTCTGATAGACTAACATTCAATGAAAGGAGGAACAGAGTGTGCATTTTGCTAACTGCTATATCCCTAATACTCAGCATATTGTCTGATCCTTTTCTACATCTTTGCACAAAAACATACTGTGAATGAAACTTCTTTCCTTATTTCCAGACAATGGTGCAGCTCCTAGCAGCTCTTACAGGATGTGTTCAGCATGTCTGTGCCACACAGGAATCCATCATTCTAGAAAATATTCATAGTCTTCCCTCCTCAGTCCTACATGTAATCAAAAGTACATTTGTACATTGTAAGGTGAGTAATGTGTCTGAGTATACTTTCAATGGCCTGGAATCCACAGGCAAAAGAGCTGAGGGATATAGTGTTTGCATTTAGGATTTTACATATTAGCCTATATTACTGGAATAAACTTTTCATTAGAACAAAGAACCACCACGTACAGGCATACCTTGTTTTTTTGCACTTCCCAGATAGTGTGTTTTTTACAGATTGGAAGCTTGTGGCAACCCTGTGTCCAGCAAGTCTGTTGGTGTCATTTTTCCAACAACATTCTCTTGTTTCTTGTCTCTGTATCACATTCTGGTAATTTTTGGAATATTTCAAACATTTTCATTATTGTGTTTGTTATAGTGATCTGTGATCAGTGATTAAGACTTGCTGAAAATTCAGATTATGGTTAGCATTTTTTAGCATAAATATTTTTAAATTAAGGTATATTCATTGCTTTTTTAAATATAAATTGAATTAATTAACTCATAGTGTATTATTAATTTCAGAGGTAGAGTTTAGTGATTCATCAGTTGCATATAAGACCCAGTGCTCATTACTTCAAGTACCCTCCTTAATGCCCATCACCCAGTTACCCCATCCCCCCACCTACCTCCCCACCAGTGACCTTGTTTGTTTCCTATGGTTAAGATTCTCTAATGGTTTGTCTCCCTCTTGATTACATCTTGTTTTATTTTACCCTCCCTTCCTCTGTGATCCTGTTTTTTTTTCTTAAATTCCACATTTGAGTGAAATCACATGATAATTGTTTTTCTCTGATTGACTTATTTCATTTAGCATAATGTTCTCCAGTTCCATCCATGTTGTTGCAAATGGCAAGATTTCATTTTTTTTTTTTTTGATGGCTGAGTAATGTCATCCCCCCCGCCCCCCCCCCATCTTCTTTATCCATTCATCTGTCAATGGATATCTGGCTCTTTCTATAGTTTGGCTGCCGTGGACATTGCTGCTATAAACATTGGGGTGCAGATGCTTCTTTGGATCACTACATTTGTATCTTTGGGGTGTATACTTAGTAGTGTCATTGCTGGATTGTTAGGTAGCTCTATTTTTAACTTTTTGAGGAGCCTCCATACTGTTTTCCCGAGTGCTTGCACCAGCTTGCATTCCCATCAGCAGTCGACATAGTGTTATTGCATGCTTAACAGACTGCAGTGTAGTATAAATATAACTTTTATATGCACTGGGAAACCAAAAACTTTATTTAACTCATTTTATTGCAGTGGTCTGGAACTGAATCTGCAGTATTTCTGAGGTGCACCTGTATGTAAATATTTGTTTCAAAATGTTAAAAGGAAGTGATTATTAAAAAATGGGCTTTTGTGGGTTTTTTGTTGTTGTTTATTCTGTTTCCTTTCTACAAAGAAAGAAGAGACAGATTTGTGTTGAGTTAAAGGAATCCTGAAATTGTTCTATTATGGCAGTGGTGGATCAGATGAATTCCTTAATGATTAGGTGCCTATAAAAAGGACACGAGTCCTTTTGTAGTCCATCTCTATTCCTGAGGCAGCTTTAAAGCATAAAAATTAGGATTTGTGGGTCACAGGCAGTTTTGATCCTGGTATTCATAGGGTGAATAAAATCACTAGTTTAATGCTTCTCTTTGGTGATAGAGTGCTAAAAGTCATGCACCTGACTGAATGTTATGTATTTCCCTTTTAGTTCTATATAATAAAGACACACTATCTAAGGGATGATCACTAAACATTTGTTTAATGAGTAAATATGTGATTCAGTAGAAAGCACTGAAGTTATGAGCTTTGATAGAATGACTTAAAATAAATTTGGCCTTAAGCTTTTTATGATTTGCAATTTCTCTCATTTTTATTTGTGATCAGGCTAGTGAATCTATCTATTCTGGACATTTACACCTAGTTTCAGACCTTCTCCAGGCTCTTTTCAAGGAGGCCTATTCTCTTCAAAAGCAGCTAATGGAACTACTGGATATGGTATGCATGGATCCTTTAATAGATGAAAATGATGATGTTTTGAATATGGTAATAGGTGAGTGAGGAAACTTCCTACTTATGTGATATATGTTGACTAAACTGTATATCCATTTAAGTTACTGAACCCAGTGTTGTTTCTAATGCTTCATGGTATTTACTCATTATGTATAAAAAAATTTAAATCCTATCTGATAAATTTTTAATCCTTTAAATTTTAGAATTTATAAAATTGATATGTGGTACCTTAACATAGATTTGTATATTCAGTTAATGTTCACCATACATGATTTTTCCCCAGTGATTAGTAAAGTCATGCAACTTTATATCTTGTAAAGTAGTCCAGATTCTGAGGCAGTAACTTTCAGAGTTTTTAAACCATAATTGAGTAAGAAATGAAGTTTGCATTTCTTTCCAGAGAATTATAAGTTGCATATATATGTATGTTCGTGACTCTGTATATATAGACTGCATTTATTATATGTAAAATAATACCTGTTTTGCATATAATGTGCTCTGTCATACTATTTTTAGAGAATTCCTGATTGCTACTTCATAATTTTATCACTCACCAGTGGATTATAACCCAGAGTGTGAAAAACAGTAATATATAAGGGCAAAACTTTATAGCTTTGGGTTAGAGTTAAGTTGGCTTTGTGCAGTGTATCAGGTACCTCCTGCTCTACAAAAAACCACCCCAAAATCTATTGGATTAAAACAACTCCTTTACTTATTCATGATTCTGTGAGTTAGCAGTTTAGGCTGGGCTTAGCTGGAACAGCTTTCTCTGCTCTACATGGTAACAGCTGATTCACTCACTCGTGTTTTTGTGGTCATTGACCTCACCCATATCTCACTGTTGGAGGCAGAAGCATGGAGCTGGCCATGTATGGCACATCATCCAGGAGGCTAGCCCAGGCTCTGTCACCTGATGACGGCCTCAGGGTCACCATCAGGAGAGGACAAGCCCCAATGTGCAAGCACTGTTATCCTGTTGACCAAAGTAAGTCATGGAGCTGAGGCCCAGATCAGTGTGAAAAGAAACGTCCAGGAGTGTAGACACAGAAAGGGAAGTCACTGGTCATTTTTATAAGTAAAAGGGAAGCGTAGAAGCCTTCCATAAATACTTTGCAAATTTACTTTAATTCTTCCTTATTTGGTGTTCTTTCCTTTGCAACTTATTTTGCATTTTGGATTAGAATATCTATAGAATATTTCAATTATAAAAGGGCACAGCTTTTATTCTGCTGAACATTTTATTTTAGTTTATTTAGGACATTGAGTTTTATTTAGATATGTATAAATGTCAAAAATTAATTTTCTGTAATTTGTAAAAACCGTAAATCAAAAATGTGACACTTATTTTAAAAATTATTTTGAAACTGTTTTTTTCTAACTGCATTGCCTATCTTAACAAATGTCTAAACTGTTCAGTAGATTTAAATTATGAAGAAACTCACCCCATATGACATTTGAATGTCCTCAGAGCTCTGTTTTTTTTTTTTTTTTTTGTAGTTATTCATTCATTGTTGGATATCTGCTCTGTTATTTCCAGTATGGACCATGCGTTTCATGCCAATACTTGGAAATTTATAATTAAGTAAGTTTTTTTTTTGTTTTTTTTTTTTTTTTTCTTTTGCTTTTTGTAATGTATTTTCCATATCCAAAATCTTAATTATCTCCTGTCCTGGGGCCTTCTCACACTCTCTCCCTCTGCTTGGGGTGCTCCTCTCCATACTCTGCATCTTGCTGACTCCTGTTTATCCTTCACATGTCAGCAGCTTAAGTGTACGTCCTTGTGATAGTGGTCTTTGCTATTCTTACCTTGAGAATGAGTTATTTTAGATCTCTACTATAGTATCCTGGACTTTTCTAGCTTAGTATTTCTCACAACTGTAATTAATTATTCTTAAAATTATTTAATGTTCTCTCTTGTGCTAGACCACAAGTTCCATGCAGACAGGGCAGAGATTGTATCTTCATTCACTTGTCCATCCTCAAGGCCTAGCAGAATATGTGGAATGTTAGTAAGAGTTCAATAAATTTCATAAAGAGGAATAAGAAATTAGCCACTTAATAAAGCTAACATGACCACTTTAGAGGTAACATCAGCATGTCTTAATGATGCCATGTCTAATACAGATGATGCATTATGATTTTTACATGTTACTTCAAGTCATATTTTTATGGCCCTATGTTACTTGATGTGTTACTTATGACTGTATTCTTTTTTTTTTTTTTTTGATTCATTTAGGCAGAGCCTTAAGCACCAGTCAGTTATAAAGAGTCAGCTGAAACACAGAGATATAATCACTAGCTTGTGTGAGGATATTCTTTTCTCCTTCCATTCCTGTTTACAGTTAGCCGAGCAGATAACACAGTCAGATGCACAGGTAAGTATGGTGTGACAGTAGCTCTATGTTCATTAGGCAGTTTTACTCAGTCTCATTTGAATCTATGTATCAGTTTACCTCAAAAGGTTTTGATTTGTTTTTTTGTGGTCATTTTTTTAATCTATGATTATTTATAGTCCATAATTACTTTTCACCCCAAACATTGCATTAGACTCCTGCCTGCTCTTATTCCCTCTAGAAACTGACTGTTGTCCCTCCCACCTACCCCCATCCCCAGCTTTTTATGTAATAACTGGTTTAGTCAAGGCATTATCTTCAGAATTCTTTCATTCTTTCCTACCCGAGGTCACAGATCTAACTCCTTAGTCCTGTATTTATCTCAGGTCATGTGATAGAGGCGCAGACTGTCTGTTCTTCACCAACCCTATAGTGATAGGATATGCAGCTGTGTGTGTATGTGTCTGTGGGCTCAAATTCATGCACACTTATATTTATTTTGATTTCAAAAAGTTACAGTGTTGAATTGGCATCCCATTTATGAAACATAGTATATTAAAATGTATAATAAGTTTATTGGGAATTAATAGTTCATTTTCCTATAACAGTTTTATACATAGTGACTTTTGTTCTCAGACTAGCCCTTTAAATTTTATTTAACCCATAATGGCCCTAAATTATAGGATTAATAGTATTCAGGACCTAAGAATTATATGTAATAATTTAGGTGGGAAAATGAGTTAAATATTCGTCCGTAAAGTAACAGTAACCTCCCTTCCCATTGTGGACTTGCTAGCGGATACAGGCAATTCATTTGTACCTGTGCCCCTCCCTACCCAGCAGCCATGGGGGTGGATGTGTAAGTTCCTCCCTTTGCTACACAGGGTTGCAACTCCAGGAGCAGAGGTTATCTGGAAGGACCCACACAAGGGGAGGACAGTAGTTTGAAAAGGAGTTCTGAAGTTGGTAAGAAGGAACTGAGGAGCAGCTATGACTTTAGGGTCACCTTTTACTTCTTGCTTCTCTTCTTTTTCTCTTATCTATTCTCCCCTTACATCCTTTCTTTTCTCCTTTTCTTTCCCACCCCTACTTTCTTGCATCAAGTCTCCTTTCCAGTTCCCCTCACTCTTCTGTGAGGAGGGGGCATTTGGCTGAGTATCTTGTGTCGTGGCAGGAAGGTTGTTCTTCTCCACTTCTGTCCTGTATGTCTATATCCTCAACCCCAGCCTCCTCTTGTCTTGCTTTCCTTCTTAAGTTGACCCCACAGACCCTCCAGCTGGTGCTGGGAGAGTAAAATTAGAAGAGATTTGGGACAGGAGAAACATGGAGAGAGTCCAAGCAATAGTATAATGGAAGAGAAAAGAGAAGTCCTGATGGTGCCTGATCAGGGTGGCTATTAGTACACAGAATAGTTAACGTTCAGCTTCTATACACCATTTGTATGTAGAAATCAAAGAATAAATTATAAACTATCCTAACCATCCAAGCAAATTTTCATGCTTTCCTTGTGAAAATTTGGCACTGATAAAGGGACTAGCACTACTATTGTATTCAGTCCATTGCCTGAAATGGAGTTTTGAGGTTCTGTGGTTTCTCCCTTCTGAACTCTAAATTCTGAGCAGCAACGCCCTCTGCTGTTCACTATTGATATTTATTCAGGAATTAAATGATTATTTTAAGTCTTCTAAGCAGTTTTCTCACTTTGTTTTCAAAAGCATCAAAATAAAACTACCAAATTTAATAGCTGCTATGCTATTTATGAAAGCATAGAGATGTATCAGTCCCTGTAGTAGGTTCCTAGGCCTGCTATAAGGGCACCTGGGTGGCTCAGTGGGTGAGCATCTGCCTTTGACTCAGGTGGTGATCCTGGGGTTCTGGGATTGAGGTCTGTATTGGGCTCCCTGCAGGGAACTTGCTTCTCCCTCTGCCTCTCTCTGTGTCTCTCATGAATAAATAAAATCTAAAAAAAAAAAAAATGAAGAAATTACCACAGGCGTGCCTAAGTGGCTCAGTGGTTGAGCATCTGTCTTTGGCTGAGGTTGTGATCCCAGGGTCCTGGGATGGAGTACCGCATCAGGCTCCCTGCAGGGAGCCTGCTTCTCCCTCTACCTATGTGTCTGCCTCTCTCTCTCTGTCTCTCGTGAGTAAATAAATAAAATCTTAAAAAAAAAAATGACCATAAATTGAGTGCCTTACACAATTTATTATTCCATAGTTCTAGAGGAGACAAGTCTATAATGTATCAGAAGGAACATGTTCTTTTGAAAGGTCTAGGGTAGAGTCTGCTCTATGCCATTCTGTTAGCTTGTGGTGTCACTGGCATTCCTTGGTGTATAGCTGCAGAACTCCTTTCTCTGCCTCTATCATCACGTGGTATTCTCTCTCTGGGTCCTCACATCATCTTCATATAAGGACAAGACACCAGTCATACTGAACTGAGGGTATACCCTATTCCATTGTAGCTTCAGCCTACCTAATTATATCTTTGATGACCCTGTTTCCAAATAAAGTCATATTCTGTGGTACTGGGGATTAAAACTTTAACATATCTTTTTAACAGTCTCCTAAGATTGACATTTATTCTCTATTAAGTTTTGAACACAGTTTCAAAAAGAGAATGTCATATTAAATTTTTTAACATATAGTTTTTTAACCCCAGTGATTTAGTTTTTCTTTTTTAAATTTTTTTTAAAGGTTTATTTATTTATTTATTCATGAGAAACACAGAGAGAGAGAGAGAGGGGCAGAGACACAGGCAGAGGGAGAAGCAGGCTCCATGCAAGGAGCCTGATGTGGGACTCGATCCCAGGTCTCCAGGATCACACCCTGGGCTGCAGGTGGTGCTAAACTGCTGCGCCACCGGGGCTGCCCAGTGATTTAGTTTTTCTATAAAGATAGGGAAATTTATTTATCAGGCATTTAAAAATAAATTTAATTTCCACTGTAATTGCTACCTTTGTTTATATAATGCTTATAAAAATTGATATTTGGAAAATAAACATATACTTTTCCATATAAATATATAGCTAATAAGCTATATATATTTATTTATAATAATAAATGTAAAAATACTTTTTTAAAAGATTATTTGAGAGAGAGCATGTGCACAGAGGGAAAGGGATTGGGAGAAGTAGACTCTCCATTGAATAGGGAGCCAAATGTGGGGCTCCATCCCAAGACCCCAAGATCATGGCCCCATCCAAAGGCAGGTGCTTTAACCAATTGAGCCACCCAGGTGCCCGTAAAATATTTTTAATCGAAGTATAGTTGGCTTACAATATTATATTAGTTTCAGATATACTACATAGTGATTTGTTGACATTTGTAGGCAATATTAAAATGCTCATCACAATTAAGTTACCACTTGTCACCATATAAAGTTATTACAATACCATGGAGTATATTCCCTATGCTGTACCTTTCATTCCTGCAGCTTTTTATTCCTTAACTGGAAGCTTGTGCCCCTCACTCCCCTTCACCCTTTTTGGTCATCCTCTTACATCATCTTCCACCTCCACCTCTGGCAACCATCATTTTGTTCTCTGTACTTAATGAGTCTGTTTCTGTTTTGTTTTGTTTTTTAGATTCCACATGTAAGTGAAATCACATAGTACCTGTCTTTCTTGGTCTGACTTCTTAGTACAATATGCTCTAGATCAGTCCATGTTGCGAATGGCAAAATGTCATTCTTTTTTGTGGCTGAGTAATAGTCCAGTGTGTGTGTGTGTGTGTGTGTGTGTGTGTGTGTGTGTATTTATGTGTGTACACATTACATCTTCTTTATCCATTTCATCTATCATTGGAAACTTATGTTCTTTCCATATCTGGGCTATTGCAAATAATGCTACAGTAAACATGGAGGTACATATATGTTTTTGAATTAATGTTTTCATTTTCTTTGGGTAAGTACCCAGATGTGGGACTACTAGATAATATGGTATTTCTATTTTTAGTTTTATAAAGAACCACCACACTATTTTCTATGGTGTCTACCCAGTTTATTCCCACCAACTGTGCATGAGGATTCCTTTTCCTCTACATCCTCCTCAACACTTACTATTTCTTATTTTTTTGATGCTAGCCTTTCTTACACGTGTAAGGTGATATCTTGGTTTTGATTTACATTTTCCTAATGATAGTGATGTTGAGCTTCTTTTCATGTATCTGTTGACCATCTGTATATCTTCTTTGGAAAAATGTCTATTCAGGTCCTCTGCCCATTTTTTAATCAGATTGTCTGCTTTTTTGGTGTTGAGTCATAGGAATTCTTTATGTATTTTGGATATTAACTCATTATCAGTATATTATTTGCAACTTCTCCCTTTTGTTGCTTTTCATTTTGTTGATGATAAACATGTACTTCTATATCTGTATGCCTATACTTAGCTTCATTGCATGCTACATTTAGCTTTATTAGTATTTTTGTTTTATTTTTAAAGAAAGGATGCTTGGTATTTAGAAACATTGAAAATGATATCCCCACACCTTCTTTGTTGACATTAGGATGCAAACCTATCTTTCTCTCTCTTTCTTTCTTTCTTTCTTTCTTTTCTTTTCTTTTCTTTTCTTTTCTTTTCTTTTCTTTTCTTTTCTTTTCTTTTCTTTTTTCCTTTTCTTCTTTCTTTCTTTCTTTCTTTCTTTCTTTCTTTCTTTCTTTCTTTCTTTCTTCTTTTGCCTGCCTTCCTTTTTTTTTTTTTTTTTTAAGAGAGAAGGGGGAGGGACAGAGGGAGATCTCTAGCAAGTTCCCCTCTAAGCACAGAGCCCAATGTGGGGTTCCATTCCAGGACCCTGAGATCATGACCTGAGCCGAAATCAAGAGCTGGATGCTTAACCAACTGAGCCACCCAGGTGCCCCTATAAACTTTCTGTTTTAAGCTATTCAGTAAGTCAAGATGGGAAAATAAGTTTTACACTTGCTTTTTGAAAATATCAAAATAAAAACTCTAGATTTAATGAATCTGGTTAGTAATGAAGTTTAAAACTAGATCCTCTGACCACTCGTTTTAAAAATTTCCCCTTGAATGAGAAAGAAAAATTGAAAGTAGGCAAACAAGATAAGTTGTATGTTACTGGCCATTCATTTAATAAGCATTTCCAGAGTTTTTACTCTGTGTAAGTCAAATTTTTTGCCCTCAACAATTTGCAGTCTAGGCCTGGAATAGTGTGATCTTTGGAGACCTGGATGTTGGCTGATAAGAGTAAAGTAGGAACCCAATCATGAAATCAGGGAAGATTTCTTGTGATATGACATCTAAGCCTAAGATTTTTTATTGAGTATAAGGTCAGTGTAGATTCGTCTTTAATTTCTGTACTTTTAAGCTTCCATAGCACTCTATAAGAAAATTCATGTTTTTTTTTATCAGAGAATGGTGAATTTTCATCTAACGTATTTCTGGTGAGGAATTGTTTCCAAAAATTGTTAATAAAGATCACAATGAAGGGTCATATTTAATTAATGGATCATCCAGTTCTGTTTTGATTGGTTTATTTAAGTTTTTGCCACATTGGAAAGAAATCAAAAATAGTCAATTAACATTAAAGTTAAGATAGGGTATTTCATACAAAATTGTCAGAATTAAAGACAATAAGATATCTATTTGACTTAATTTTATGGTACTAATTTAAGCTTTCTGGATTACAGTGTATATTAACACATAGGGAGTGACACAACAACCCACATTTATTGAGTTAAGTTGCCTACGTAAACCTCACCATAACTATAGGATAAGCCACATATTGCAATCTCATAGAGGGGTTTAATAACCTTCCCAAGGTATGTAGTAGCTGTAGTAGGGCCAGAATTTCAGTCCAGGCAGGATGACTCCATAGTCTCTACTCCCCCACATACACATAGCTATCTTGGTATTACCACTGTTTTATCAGTTTGCAAATTTCACACACACAAAACCCTCACATCATAATACAGAAATATTTAACATGGAAAGTGAAATCCTACCTTCATCTTCTAGAGAGAACCACAGGTAAAATTTTGATTTATTTTTGTGGGGTTAGGGAGCAAATTGACACGCTTTTAAATAATAATAGGATGATATACATACAGTTTTACAGCTTGGTTTTTCACTGAATTATCTTAGGGCTTTTTGTGTCTGTGAAGATAAATCTACCCAATTCTTTTAATAGCTCTATGCAATTAGTTTATGAAAATACCTTGAATTTATTAACCCATTCTCTAGGTGACAGATACTTGATTCATTTCAGTTTTCACTATATAAAAAGAGTTGTATTGCATTTCTGTCCTAGCTAGTATTTCTATAGGATATATTTCCAGAAGTGGAACTGCTACTGGTTTAAGGGGATTCAACACTTTAGCTTTTAATAATAATGCAAAGAATGTATTATCTTATGCTCCCAGAAATGGTAAAACAAAGTGCCTATTACCCCACTTCTTCAGTAACTTTGGGATATTACCAGTCTTTTTTTTTTTTTTTTCATATTTGCTAATCAAATGGCCTTTTCCTCAAAAGGTACAGAATGAGGTCATAATTTGAATTTTTTCAGTATTAGTTTATTGGCAATTTGTATTTTCTGTGAACTGCCTTCTCATGTATTTTTCCTGTTTTCTTTCACATGTCATTCTTTTATTAATTTGAAACTTTTTTTCTTTTGACCATCTGTTGATCTCCATATAGCAAAAAGCAACAAGGTATTTAAATTTCTTTCACTTTCAGACCAACCAAGAATGATCACCTACCTCTTTTGCTTCATAACTTAAGATTTCTCTTCAGTAGAGTTTAATTTTTTGAAATATCTGTCATTTGGTATTTGTGTTGCTACTAACAATTCAGAGAAGAATTATGTTTGCTTGGAAAAGATTTATACTCTGTTTATTAAGAGATATTTTTAGAAAATATTGTCTCATTTACAAGGTTAGTTAATTTCATTCTTATTATGCTTTCTTTTTTCCTTATTTGGAACAGGATAATGCTGATTATAGATTATTTCAGAAAACACTCAAATTGTGTCGTTTCTTTGCTAACTCCCTTTTGCACTATACTAAGGTAAGAACTATTTTTTATAATGTGTAAATGTGAAATCTATAATAAATAATAAATTGTCCTACTTCTGTCATTCCTGCCAAATTAATCTTATGAAGGTATTTTGTCAATGTATTTTATAGGTTTTCTAAAAAATATTAAATGTTGAGCATCCAGTATCTCATTTGAGTTGCTATCATTATCATGTTATTATTTTTATTAAATTCTCTGAAAAAATTATTTTTTTAAGTATAAATATAAATAAAATTATAAGGACAAGCCAATTTTCAGAAGATAATTCAGTTTGGCTTTAAATACTGTTTATTAACTTCTGTCTTCTTTTTAAATTTTTTAATTGAAATATTCAAAGCTTTAAAACTGTATACTAATTTTAAGAATACTTGCATATTGGGGAGTCATCAGGATAGCAATGATAGTTGAAGTTCTATGAATAGAGTAGATAAGTTAGCAAGATATTATTTGGAGAGAAGAGCAGAAAATGCTTATAACAGCCAAAGAAACATCATTAGTAATAGGTACTGCTGATTAAAAAAAAAAAAAAAAAAATGGTTGTCTGTGTTGAATTTGTCCTTAACCTTGTCTTCCTCTCTGAAGGAAAAGGTAAGGCTCTCCAGTGACTTTATCACACTCAGAATTCCATGACAGGCACACTGACTCCTGACACATTGTCAGCCTGTTTGATATGCTTCCGAACTGGTCCTTCTGGGCAACTGCTACTTACCATAGTTGGCTGCTCTAACATTCAGTTCCCTACAGCTTACAGGAGGTGTATTTCTGGGCAGGGGCCCCTTGGTGGAAGGGTCCTGGCACCAATGGCACTTGATAGGCAATTACCTATCTGATATTTGTTTGATATGTAGGAGGCAGAATTATGCCTAATTATGCCATTTTTAATTAATCTTTTTCTATCAGAGGAATTTTTAATTTTTAAAATATATCCTCAGTTTTTTTTCTATATCCTATAGTACAATAAGAACTATTTATTTTTTCCTAAGAGATAGCCTAGCCATAATGGGGCAATTACAGCTGTACTCAAATTCTAACTTTGCTGGTTTTCAGCTATGTAACTTGATCAAGTTACTTGATACTTTAGCTTTCTATATTATGGAATAATAGTATGTCATAAAATTTCTGAGAGGACTAAGATAAAGTGATATACCTAAAGTCATTTGCTACATGTCTACGGAGCACTTGGTAGGTACTCAGTGATAGCTGCTAATTATGGTTTTGGTGATAGTTTTAGTGGTAAATTAGGTGCTTAGCCTTAGCCTTTTATTCTCATACAAGAAACTTTTTTTTTTTAATACGGCACATCCAGAATTTTATTTTATTTTGCATGCCTTTGTGAGAAGATATGTGTTAGAAAAGCACAGTACATACAAAGAATGAATAGAGTTGTTTTATTTTAGGAATTTCTTCCTTTACTTTCTGATTCTTGCTGTACATTGCACCAGCTTTATCTTCAGATACACAGGTAAGAAGAATGCCATGTGATACTAAAATGTAACAGTGCCTTGTGAACCATACAAAGGTTAAAAGTGTGGGCCATTTAAAATAAAACACAAGAGTAATTTTTTTATTATTTTAGTACATTTTTATCTGCTTGTTTAAAATAATTGAAGATTTAAAGAGTAGATTCCATGTGAGTTTTACTTATCTTTGTATTCTTAACTAGTACCTTATAACAGGTACCTTATACCTTATACTATCTTAACTAGTACATTATACCAATTATACCTTATAATTGGTATGATGATAAATACCAAAGGCCAAAAAAAAAAGAGGTTATATATACATGGATATATTATTTTTTATCTTTGTAGCTTTTTGTTTTATTTCTAGAAATTTAAGTCAAGTAGTAGTTAACTCCGTCTCAGAAAACAACAACAACAACAACAAAAAAGTGAATTACAGTAAAGAATCATTTAAATAGGGGCTGAGTGATATGTGGAATTGCAGACCTCCAAGGAGCCCTCAATTTGACACTAAAATACTCTGTCAACTCATTTGTCCAGCATTTGTCCAGCAGTCCTCTATTCTCCTAGACAGCATTTTCCATGCCTCTCCTTCCTTAAACTTTCCACATCTCTCACCCCTCCTCCCCATTCTCCTTGTCATTTCATGTCCTCACTGTGTTTGTCACTGAAAAAGATGAAAGCATGATTTCCTCCACACGTTGACTGTGCTGCTTGGGTCTTGGTCTGCATATTCCCCATTCCCGTGAAGGAGTTTTCTGTGCACCTGCCCAAGGCGAGCCTCCATGCCTGCACTGGTTCATCTGCCTGCACATGTTCAAGGACCTTGCTCAAGCAACTGTTTCCTTTCCCTCTTGCATCACTAGTCTTCCTCCCTACGGGTTTCCTGTCAATATCCAGCATGTTGTTATTTTTCTTATCGTAAGAATACAAAACTAAACCTCTCAACTTCATATCCTCCTCCACATGCCTTCCACTTCTGTTTAAAACAAACTCCTAGGAGTTGTCTGTCTATATCACTGTCTCTACTTTGTTTTCTTGGGACTGTTCTAGACAGGCTTTCCATTCCATCACTTCACTAGAACTTCTCGTCAAGGTTGTCAGTGACATCCACATTGCTACATCCAGTGGTCAGTTTTCAGCCTCATCTTATGTAACCTGTCTGTAGCACTTGATCCTTCTTTTTGAACTTTTTCTTCCATTGGCTTCTAGAATACTTCTCCCTCTTATTCTTTTCTAACCTCACTGGCTGCTTCTCCTCAACAGGTTCCTTGTCTACCCAGCTGAAGCTGAGTGTGCCTAAGCGGCTGGTCTTGGTCCTCAGGCTTCATTTCTCTCTTAGGTCATTTTGTCTCATGATAAGTGTGTCTCCCCCTTTAATGTCGAACTCTGCCAGTTGGGGCATCTGCACTTACATCCACCCAGACCAAACTCTTGATTCCCACCCATTCCATCTCTACCCCTGACAAAAATCTGCTTCCCTAATAGCATCCTCATTTCAGTTTAAATGAAAACTCTGGGGGCGCCTGGGTGGCTCAGTCAGTTAAGCATCTGACTTCGTTTCAGCTCAGGTCATGATTTCAGGGTTGTGGGATTGAGCCCCATGTTGGGCACCATGCACAGTGAGAAGTCTGCTCGAGATTTTCTCTCCTTCTCCCTCTGCCAGTACTCAGTCCTTCCCCCCAAATACGTAACAGGCAGCTCTGTTCTTCAAATTGATCAGGCCAAAAAACCTTGCTATTATCGCTGACATTTTTTTCTATGTGCCATTCATTAGCAAATTGTCAGTATCGCCTCCAGTATAGACATATTCAGTGTGTATTCAATGTGTATACCTATTGAATGCGGCCAGTTCTTACCACGAGAACTGCTCACATCCAATGCCATACAGTACTGTATTCTTACCTGGGTTTCCACAGAGAGCATCCTACCCTGGCCTAGTCTGTTGGCCAAAGTGAGTGATGAGACATCAGTGAGATCACTGAACTTCTCTGTACCAACCCACAAATGATTCACTATTCAAACAGAATTCAGTAGAATTTCCTGTCTACCGTACCTTGTTTTATTTTTTTTTCTCCACGGCACTTACTAACATCTGTTATATTACGGATTTACTTGCTTACTTGTTTGCTAACTGCCCCCTTCATTAGCATGTGAACTTTATAAACGCTGTGACCTTGTACATTCTGTTTACTACTGTGTTACGTGCTCTTGGAACAGTGCATGGCATGTATACACATGCATTTAAGAAATACTTGTCACATAAATTAATTAAAAAGTACACCATTTGATTGAAAAACAAGTACTTGCTTTGATGCTTAGTAGCTGTAGTTCAAGTCCATGGAGTTTCACTATATATTTTATTAATATATATCTTTCACCTTACTTATACCTTAATCCTTACCAGCAACTCTGAATCAACACCACAAATGAAGAATCAGGCAGTCAAATGAATGAACCGAAGTCACACAACTAGTAACTGACAGACTGTTGCTTTTCCATTACACTATAAAGGCCTTAAGTGTTTCTCTTAAGTGCATCCCTTTAAATGCTGTTATTCCGTTAGGGTTTTCTTAGGTATCTTCAAGTTAAATAACAAGTTAAATATCCTCAATTAAATAACGTGGCAAAAAGTACACATCTTACTTCACATAGGTTTGACTAAAGTTTTGTTTCAACTCTATAAACTGAGACGTCTTCCATGAAAAAGTCTTTGAATTGTCATTCAGGACTAGGGTACAGTTTAATTCTTACAAAGCCCTTGTTTCTGAGTATTAATTCAAATCAACTTTTAACAGAAGTGACAAAGCCACAATTTATCAGAATATCTTTCTATATGTAATGTTTTTACTGGTTATTTGATATTCATATTTTCATGGTCTTTTTTTTAAGATTTATTCATTTTTATTTTAGAGAGAAAAAGTGGGTGGAGGGGCAGAGGGAGAGAGAGATCTCGAAGAGACTCCCTGCTGAGTTTGGAGCCCAGGGTGGGTCTCCATCCCAGAACCCGAAATCAGGACCTGAGTCAACAGTCACATGTTTAACCAACTGAGCCACCTAGACACTCCTTTGTGGTCTTTTTTTTTAAGGATACTACTGTTAAAATGGTATTAAAATGACCAAAATAATAGTAAGGATTTTTCTAAGATTATAAACTTCTAATTCCGTAGAATTATATTCATGTTACTTAGTTTGGAGGTCTTCATACAATTGTGGTATCAATTAGTGCTTTGAATTTTGTTTTATAAAATACATGCTACATATTTTTTATATATTTTACTGCTACAATTGGTTTGCAGTACTTATGTCTACCTAAAATTAGAAGAAACCTATTAATGGATGAACTTTTTCTCTCTCTTTCTAGCAAGTTTCCTCCCAGCCTATATGCTGCCCAGATCTCTAAAGCACAACAGGAGGAAATAGCGAGTACTTTCCTAGTTACACTGGATCCACTCATCAATCAGCTTCTCACGTTCCAACCTTTTGTACAAGTGGTTTTGGACAGTAAATTAGGTAAGCTTCAAAACAGATTTAATCTTAAACCTTCTGATAATTATGATGTGTTAGAGACAGGGTTATTTCCTTTTTGTAATCATCCTTTTTAAAGATTATTAAGATTCCTTCTACTTTTTCTTTAAATGAGAAAAACAGTCCAAGGAAACAGTTATGCCTCTGACTTCTTACGCATCACAGATAGCTGTTGAAAATACATAGAGTATATTTTTACTAATTTGTTATAACTTAATGCATATGTTTTTATCTCCTGTAAGAGCTGCCGAGTGAACTACAGTTCCCACAATGTCTTCTGCTGGTTGTCATCATGGATAAGCTGCCGTCTCAGCCTGAGAATGTGCAGGCCCTGTGGTGCACGGAAAACCAGCTCACAGAAGCTACAGCCAGGTAGAAAACGTGGTGGTGTTTCTATCCAGTCATCTCACAGATGGTGTAGAATGCCCTGTCATTGGAATGATCTTGAAATTAAGTTTTTGTTTACATCAGATACGCTAGTTAATAATTGCTGTGTAGACCTCATATGTATTGGTACTTTATAGATATAAAAAATAGAAGTCTATAAGAGATGATAAAAATATTTTAATTTTATTCAGTATTTTAGAAGTTTTTGCCTGAGACCTAGTGTTATAAACCTTTGCATGGAAGAAGGTAGATATATTTACCAACATTTAAAGATGAGTTCTGTTAAATAGAATGCTGGATTCTTAAGTTCTGTCCTAGGAAATTTCCTCATTTGTCCCCCTGGTCACCACCAGGCTGTAGCATCTTACTGCAGGGGTGATTGCTGTGCTGGAGCGCTCAGCCTTTCCTTGAGTGCACTCTGTGTGCCAGAGCAGGTCACCTCCTGAAGCCCTGTTGTGAGCCTCCTGATCCTGCTTACACAGCAAAGCCGATGCCAGGCTGCCCAGCTTTGGGCTCCAAGTCCGGCCCTCTGCCGCCACCCCTGAATGGTGCCCCTCATCTTGTCACTCATGTAGTTTTCTGAACACATGCCTCACTTTGGTCACACTGGCTGTTCACACCTGCTGTCTCCTTGTACTTTGTCATCTTTGCCTGTGTATATTTTGCCTGTTGTATAATTTGTTATTCAAATCCTCTATGAAGATTTCTTAAACTATTTCAATCTTAAAATAATCCCTCTCTGGGGGGATCCCTGGGTGGCGCAGAGGTTTAGCGCCTGCCTTTGGCCCAGGGCGCGATCCTGGAGACCCGGGATCGAATCCCATGTCAGGCTTCCGGTGCATGGAGCCTGCTTCTCCCTCTATGTCTCTCTCTCTCTCTCTCTCTCTCTCTCTCTCTCTCTCTCTGTGACTATCATAAATTAAAAAAAAAAATCCCTCTCTGTTTTACACCTGTTTTCTATTTTCTATGTAATATCTAATATATATTTAAATTTCGGGTTCTTTGATTAATTTTAATTTTATCTTTATGTAGTTCAGTACTATAATAAATGTGATAAATGATAAAAAAAAAGTACAGGAAAATTGTCCTTTAAGGAATTTGTCTAGCAATGACTATATTTTATTTTTATGGTGACATATTCACACATATTGGAAGCTGTCATTGATATACACCTCTTGAGACATTTTGCTTTGTGAAAGTAACCTTCCATATTACCATGTTATTATGATACCTGCTAAATGTTAAATGTGAATAGTGAGAAGTTCAGTGTTCTCAATTTCCCTGCAGGGTATCTCTACTCAAAGCCATTTTCTACAGTTTTGAGCAATGTGCTGGTGAACTGTCTCTGCCTGTTCATTTACAAGGAATAAAGAGTAAAGGGCAAATGGAAGTTGCTGTCACCTTGTATGAGCATGTTTGCGTTCATCTGTGTACATTTATTACTTCCTTTCATCCTTCACTGTTTCCTGAACTGGTAAGTTAGTTGCCTACTGTCTAAACTGAGGTTACCCCTCTGCTTTCTTTTCACTGAAATTTTGACTTCTATACAGAAGAAAGGTATAGTTAATGTGTACTCTTTTTGAATGTCATTCTCTCAATTTGCACATTTTATGCTTGTAAGTCAGTTTTGTCTTAGGAAATGGTAATCCTAGAGTCCTGTAGTACTCAGATGTAGTGGCTAGCTAAAACCTTTGAAAACATTTTGCGTGGGAAAATTTGGAAAGATAGAGTGAAAAGAGGAAAAGTGTTAGGTTTTACCGAATTCAATTTCATAAAGAGAAGGAGAATAGTAGATTATAGCACCAAGTCTCCTGTAGATTTTAGGCATAACGTTGATTTTCCTTAACGGAATTAAAAATAGAAAAGATGTTGAGAAAATTATAAGAAAAAAATCTTGAGATTTATATAAGGATCAATATCCTTTAAGATATTTTACAGTGGTTAATATCTAGCACTGGAACCTTTGTGGATCCTAATGATTGAGTAACCATATTTAAAATCACTTTTGAATCTCCATAGCCCAGCATAATGCTTAGTATATAGTAGGTGCTCAGTACATATGGAGGGAACGTGTTATAGGCTCTCTTTGATATTAGAAAGTTGAGCTTTTTAAACACTGAGGATCTGTTGTTACTTGGATTGTGATGGTGTTTTGTTTTATTTTGAGAAATGTAATCATAATAATGTACCATGTGCTTTCTGTTTTTCATTAGGATGTTGCCCTATTGAATGCTGTGCTTAGTGCTAACATGATCACCTCTTTGTTAGCTATGGATGCGTGGTGCTTCCTTTCCCGGTATGATGTACTTTTTTTGGTTTTTGGATTGATTTATAGTAGTAACTGATAGTAAATGATGTTGTACTTGTAAATTTATAGAAAAATTCTGTCTTAATAATCCTTAAAAATAGTTCGATTTCATATCATAGCACTAAATCAGGAACCAGTTTCCTTCTTTCCTTTTTACGGTTCAAGTAATAGATAACTGTTACTTAGGTAGTTTTGTATATTGTGGTATTCTCTTTGCCCATGGGGAAATTGCAGCTTCGAACAGTTAGTGCTTTTTGGAAGTTCATCTCCTTGCTTTTCTGAATAATTGCATAAATTATTTCATAAAGATTATCTTCTCTTATATCAGATATGGGACTGCTGAACTCTGTGCCCACCATGTCACCATAGTGGCTCAGCTGGTGAGTAGAATTACAGGGCTTAAAACACCCACTTTCCATGCAGTTCCTTTAAGGATATGATAATCTTAAAGAATGTGAATATCAAAAGGAGAGATAGTATGGTAGCTACTTTGACAGTGTCTTTGCTGTGCATTAATGCTGATGCTACTGAGAAAGGTGTGCCAGAAACAATGTCAAACTGGAGAAATTGTCTCATATTGTCAAAATCTTACAGAGTTCTATGAATTGTTCTGGAAAAGAAAGACTAGTTTAATGGAGAATAAATTTGAACTTGAATGCAAAGTAGAAAATAAGAAAAAAGAGTTAGTTGTAATGTTGATTACTGAGAGTTCTCTTTTCTTTTTTTTTTTCTTTTCTTTAAAATGACTTAGACTAACTACCTCTTGATTTTGTTGTATCATAATGATTTGAGAGGGACTAAATGTTGCAGTGATTAATGCCTTTTTGGGAAAGAACTCATGCTTTGTGAATGGTTACAAAGAGAAAATGATTTAGTGATGATTTATTTTAATCTTTTCAACATTGACCTTTTTTTGCTTTTAAATTTTGAGATGTTTGATATATTCCATGTGATATAGTCATGTCTTTATTTCAGTTTTTTGTCCCTGGCCTTTGATAAAGATGTCATCTGGGTCCATGTGTCTTTTGTTTCTTAATAGCTGTTATGTCATATGGTTCTTAGTTTGCAGTTTAAAAATGTTGTAGACTAAGTCTGGTGAGGTGTATAATAACCTAACAGCTGGCACATGTGTCTCCAGGGCTAATCATCTGGAGCCCATACACACTTCTGAATCCTTAATACATCTTGCACAAGACAGATCCAAAGTAATATTATGTTTATATTATCTTCTTCAAATAAAAGCATTCATTTAATTAAGTAAAAGCTCTCCTAGTGTATTATGATAGGAATTGATCTTCAGAAAATTGAACTTATAGAATCTTTTAATGGAGCTCCTATCTAGAGTTACACCCACCTCTGCACTATTGTGCTTAGATCTTTAAAAGTTTCCATGAATTGTCTTTGAGTAGGAAGATTAACATATCAAGTTATCATCCAAATGGTATGGATGATTATTCTATTTCTATCCTCCAAATAGAAATTCCAGAGGGTTGTTTATAAACACAATGTCAGAATTGTTTTCTCATTATAAAAGTAATCTAGGTTAATAGAAGAAAAACTAATTAAAGTTCTAAATTACTTAAAATCTTTGGTCCTGGAAAGCGCTGCTATTAATATTATAGCATATAAAAACTTGTAAAAGCCATGATTTTAAATCGATCTTTCCTCTCCTTTATTTTCCCAGATAAAATCCTGCCCTGGAGAGTGCTATCAGCTTGCCAACCTATCAGTACTGTTGAGGCGGCTCTTCTTCTTCATGGCTCCATCACAACAGGCAAGGATAGCATGTTAGTCACTGTTTTTGAGCAGCTGCTGAGAAATGGATTCAAACTCTTGGAAGGCTTCCCACTGCCCCTATATTCTATGTTTAAATGTTGACATGGTCTGAGCATAAATTTTTAATGTAGTGATTGCTTTGCTTATTGCTTTTAGATGGGTTTAGATTTTAATATTGTTAAAAACCAGAGCCATACAGTAAAGTGGTAAAAGTGGGTTTTATTCTGGGATTGTTGCTGTAGGGAAAAGAGGCCTCTGGGTAGAACTTGGCTCAGATCTGAATATAGCATAGGATCTCAAGCAAGGTGCTGGTCAGTGGGTGAAATTACTTAGAGGAAACATCAAGGGTAAGGAGGTGGTTCTTGCTAAACTGGCAAGTAAGATTCTTGCTGAACATAGACCAAAGTGATCAAATGCCAAGGCTGAGGGATCCTTTCTAGATTGACTTAGCAGAATTCTTGCTAAAACCGGACAATGCAGGCCCAAGGATGGACAGTCCCAGGCATAGCATCATGCCATGCTTAGAAGGGTGCTCAGTAAATATTGGTAGTTGGTTCATTTGTTCTTTCTTTTTTAATATTTATTTATTTATTTATTTGAGCGAGAGCAAGTGTGCAGAGGGGGGATGAGGGACAGAGAGAGGGAGAGAGAATCTTAAACAGGTTCCATGCCCAGTGTGTAGTCTGACATGGGGCTCAATCTCACAACCCTGAGATCATGACCTGAGCCAAAATCAAGAGTCAGACGACTGACTGAGCCACCCCGGTGCCCTGGGGGAGTTTGTTCTGAATAGAATATTTGCCTCAAGTCCATGTCTGCTTTCCTGCCTGAGAGTGATTGCCAGGCCCCCAAGGAACCATGCCCAACTTCCTGGCCCTCTTCCATGCAGGTGATTCTGAGGCTGAAAGCACAGTAGATCCACTTCCTAGCCCTCTGGAAAATACATAAGGGGTGTATTCTCCCCTCCAAAACTTCAGAGGAATTATCTGCTCCATGTCCCTTCAGATTTGAGTACCTTTTATTCTCTGAAAGGTCTTTCCCTGGTTCCTGGTATACTGACCTTAATAGTGGCTCTGGTGACGGAGGCCCTAGCTAAAGATGTGGGATTGGGAGGGAAAGTCTCTTTTAACCTCACTTTTCTTATTTATTAAATGGGAATAAAATTATCCTTTTACCGGGGTTGTGGTGAAATTTTAACTTTTAGAAAATACAACTCAGAATGAATGACCTCTAAGTGAGATCTAGAAACTTTGTTATAGATAAACTAGTTTCTGTTTAGGGATCTAGATACTCCTCAATTTTCTAAGTGTCTCCAAATAATTGAGGCTATTGAATACTAAGTTACTTTATGGATTTTGAGGGGTTACTTTTAATTTTTTCCTTCAGTTGTCAAATACGGATTTCCTGGTCAAGTTAATGGTGTGAAAATTTAAAGGGGCATACCTAAACTTGAATTCTTGTCTTGAGAGTCTGTGGGTGTAGTTAATCCTAAAATTGAGATACTAACCTTCCCTAGAGGCAGGGCTGAGACTTGAGACCTGGAACGGAAGCTGCTCGAAGGGGGCATTTCACAAGAGTTTGTTTTTCTGCCAGGCTTTGTCTTTTTCCTTTTCCCTAAAGACATTATCCCCCCTTTTGAAGAGGGAATGGACCTTTTCTGCGACAACAGTATGTACTGGGTTGTGTTCTAGGCACTTCAGTTCATGGAGTTCCTGGGTTCTTAGCCTTGTGGGATATGTGGATTACGTTCATTCCACAGATGAAGAATCCGTAGTTTAGGGAAGTAAAAGAGCATCTCCAAACTCACTGTGATAAATAGCCGAGCTGGGATCCAAGCAAGATCTGTCTTACTCCAAAGGCTGCATTTCCCATTACTCTGGTGTTCATGTTCCACTCTTTGGCATGCACCTGCTTCCGGGCCTCTTCCGTTTGTGTTTTGTTTTTAGTTTGTCTGCTCATGTCTCATTTTAACATAACAGTGCTGTTTTTCTGTTAACTTGGCAGTGGCTTTGCATTATTGCAGTGGTAAAATGGACTTGCCAGCCACATTGCACTGGGCTGGTGGCTTACATTTATGAAACCGATTCTGTGTGTTGTCTGAGAGCAGAGCCAGCTAGCCCCACAGGAAACAGAACTGATGACCCACTTGCTTCTTTCTTTAGGTCCTCTGTTCTAGTCTGCTGTGCTAGTGGCCACCAGGGTTGGCTGAATCAGTCTTCTGGCCTCTTTTGGACTTAACCAAACAAGGTCACTAGCACAAAAGTTTGTAGGAAAATAATAGACTGTATGGGTAGAAGCAGAATAAAAGAGCTGACTGGACTAATAATGAAATGCGTGGTTTTCAACCTTTCTCGTGTCTTCATATCACATTCACTTAAACTGTTTGTTTTGCAAACAAATGCAACGACAGAAAAAATAATCATGTTCCTTTAAGTTACCTTGGTCTGGTACTTGTGGTATTACTACTCAATTAAAAACTTTTTAAAAATATAAAGCATGGAAACTAGTACTTAGCTTTTACTCATCCATTCACCAGATTGTCTCATGTTACTATTATTTCTTCGATTTATTTTAGGTGGAGTTTATCCAGAAATTTTCTCCTAAAGCAGCAGAAAATCTGCCTCTGTGGCAGTGTATTTCCCTGCAGGCATTACCAACCGAGCTCAGGAAGCAAGCTGCATGTGATATCACCAGAGTCGGGATTGCACAGTGTCAGGAGTGGCTAAGCAATAGTCGGACTTTGGGAGAACTTGAATCTCTGGTAAAATAAGAATTTTGTTGGATTTGATTCATTTAGCAGCTGTTTCCTGAGCACTGCTCAAGGTACTAGTGATGGGCTATTTACTCAGATGTATATAGTCTCTGCCCTCAGGCTAGAAACTAGCAGGATTTTCAGATTTCTGCATTGTAAAGGGATCTGTGAGAAACTTCCTGTTATCTTGACTGATGAAATTATATTGGGGGTAGAGAGACTAGTTCAAGACACACTGGACCAAGATGAAACCTATTGTGAAATATTTTGTTTATAGGAGTTTTGCTGACACATCATTAGATTAGGCGTACATGATTCTTCTATTTGATAAAACACAGCCCCCATTTTACACACACCTTTTCTGAGCCTTTAGGTAGCTTTCCATTTAGAATGCTCCCTCTTAAAATAATTAAATATAAAAGAAATTCATTTATGAGAAGTAAAAAAAATCCATGGTTTTTTAAAATTGAACTATAGTACATATGGTTGAATCTTCCAGTCTAGTTTCCTCCTTTGTTGGTTCATTCATTCATCCAACAAATATATTTTGAGTGCTCTTATGTGCCAAGCACTGTTTTAGGCATACAAGAACAAAACAAAAATTCCTGTTCTCATGAGCTTGCATTGTGGACAGTAAAATAAGTAATAAATATATATGTACATATGTTGTATCAGTTTGTGATAAGTGGAGAAAAATAGGGATGGGGACAGGGCATTCAAGAGGTTAGGGGCCTATCTGCAATTTTAAATTAGGAGTTCAGAGTTTTCTCAAGGCTTATATTTCCACAGTAAGCGCAGATGTTCTGACAGTGTTACATAGTGGCACCTGATGATAATTATTAAGATAATTTAAAGCCTATACATATATCCAAAGGAAATACAAGTTTTTATTTGCATTTATTTTTGAGAAAACTATTAAATACTTAATTAGTAGGTTAAATTGTTCCAATTTTACATTTATTATGCACTGATTTTTGTAGTTGAAGACAAAAAACCTTTCGTATTATGTAAAATAATACACCTATTTTCTAAAATTGAATATATTTTTGCCCTGACTGAAACTTTAGTTCAGTGGGTCATTTTACATGCTTATTTGTAGAAGGAAATAGGTAAATCTTAAAAAGCTTGTATGGTAATCAGCGAAACTTAAGTATGACTGTTGAGGTATAATGGATTAAAGGCATTGTTATTAATCATTACTTTCCCAGTGGCTTTCACTTTACTCCCACTGTCCCCTCAATGAACCCCATTCCTGGCCAGAGAGAAAGATTCTATATAGAGAAGAGTGAATCTAGAAAAGATGGTTTTTAGTTTCAAATTCTAGGTAGTGTACTTCTCAAGTATTATATTTGCTTATTGAATGTCGTGTCATTGAGGAATTTTAAAGGTTAGGTATAAAACACCAGCAACAATGAAATCTAGTAATGTTAAAAGATTGCTAGATACATAATATGAAAAACAATAGAATTTTTAGTTGATGAACATTATAAATTAGCTTGATCCTATTGACAATTTATATCAAACTTCTTTATTAAAATATATTGGTGTTTCCATTTTAATATTAAATTTTAACCTAAACGGGAAAAATATTTAGAAAGTGAAGCAAATGTTTCTGTGTATAAGTAAAATTTATTTTAATAAGATAATATATATTAAAGAAGTAGCTGAAAAGATGGCTTCAGGCCTCAGTATAAATTTGACACAGGTTTTTATGAAGAGTTATAAGTAAATCATAACCTCTGCAGCCTCAGCTCCTGTAGTAGACTGGGATCTAACCTTGGACCCTTCCCTCTCTCCCTTTAGAACACACTGCTCTCTGCTTTGCTTGCTGTATGTAATTCTGCTAGTGAAGTTCTGGATATTGCACAGCAAACTGCAATTATGGAAATTGGGAGTCAGCTTTGGGCTTTTTTAAACCCTAAACTGGTAAGGAGAGCAACTGATTGTTTCCCTGAAGAACTAATAAAGTACTGAAAAAAGAGCATAGTACTGAAATTTCCCTGTAGAGTAAAATGTATGTAATTTCTTTAAGTGCTTGGTAGAACTTGCAATTAGAACGTAAAATAACTTTTTGTACTCTTTCAGCCGGTTCTTTTTGAGTGTGATAGAATTAAATTAGTAAAACTAGAACTTAATGAATGACAGTGATATTTCAGCTAACTATTTTCATGACCATTTGGACCCTAAAACCCCCCGAACTCTTCCTCTATTGTTTCTGTCCTCTCCTGGTTTAGTGTAGCGTGTTTCTGTGATTCTGGGGTCTTCCATACAATCCTCTGGGCAGTGGAGAGTGGCTTGGCTTAAAGGTGGCAGGGGCAAGTGAGTAGCTCTAGCTGGTTCGTGTTCCTCTTCCCCAGCATTGGTAGAAGGCCAGGTGATGATCAGGCTAGAATTAGGATGATATGGGGTCCCCTAGGTTATTGTAATTTACAAATGACATTTAAAAATCTAAGTATGACATTTTCTTTGACTAAGTAGTGCCAGCCACTGGAAGCTGAAGGCAAAACTCATACTTCTGGTAAATCCTAGAAATGGTTTTGCAGATAATGTTTTACCATTAATGTTTATAAATAGTTAAATTTCTTTTCTGCAGTATTTTGACTTCAGTGATTGCTTTTCCCCAATCCTCACGAATCATTCAATAAATATTCGTTGAGGATTCTCTGCTGGTGATATAGTTTATAATACCATGATAGAAATGATTATGAAGAAGAGAAATGGAATTTTAAGAACACTAAGGCATATACAAGTTTTTCAGTGGCAAACAAAAATAATTAGATCTCCGTCCGGATTAAATTTCCTAGTCATGTGATCTTGAGCAAATTATGTAACCTCTCTGCCCCTTTCTCTTAATTATTAGTAAAGTGAGGGTTATAAGATCTACTTCATAAAGTTATAAGGTGTATGTGAGGTAGCATATTGCCCAATATATAATAAATGCTCACTAAAGTTGCTATTTTCATGTAATTGAAAATTTTCACCAGAATTATTTTGTGTTTCTTATTTAAGGTAACAGGTCAACCTTATATTCAGCAGACACTTAGTTTTTTGCTTCCACTGTTGGGAGTTTTCGTTCAAACTCTAGATCCTCATCTGATAAGTCAGGTAAGAACAGTAAGCAAGTTGATACTGTCTTTGCTGAGGAAATTGTTGAACTGGCAAGACTTAAAAAAGTTTTTTAGAAACAGTCCTTTTTAATGATTTGTTGCCCAATTTGCTTGTTACTTTTTTCCTGTTGAACTGAACGTAAACGTCTCAGGAAGGTCTCCCTATCTCTTTCGCTCTTCCAGGAGAGTATGGTTAGTACATGGGGCTGTTGATTCAGCCTGTATCTGTTCTTTCCTAGCTCCTGAGGCTGAACAGTCACAACTTTCACTACCGCAGAACATCCCTGAGGTTAGGACTCGTAGTTCATGTGTGAACTCTGCATTCAGGACCTTGTCAGAGGCATTGCAGCTGTGGGAGTATGGAATGTAACCAGTGTGGGCTTAAGGATAATCCTCATTGTTTTTCTGAAGAAATAAAGTGATTTTGAAGCAGGAGGACTACTGAGTTTTCGGTCTGACCCCCAGCTTGCCTGGCTGGGACAGGCAGTACTGAGGTCCCTGGTGGGGGGGACCTGCTTTTGGAGGTTCTGAGCCAATAGAGAAGAAAAGGCCAAAGGCCTTCATCTCTGAAGTGGTTTAGAGGCTTTGGAATTAGTCCCTAAGGACAGAATTGATCCCCTAAATCAGGAGCTGGCCCTAAGCTTACAGGCACATTTAGAAACAGTTCTGAGGTAAAACTAGTCATTCCTACTTAGAAGTAACACTCTATATTGTAGTACCATATATGCTGGAAAGTGAAACTACTAATGCTTTGTTTTAGTAGCTTGGTTAGTGGTTGTGTACATTAAGAACTTAGCATTAACAAATACTAATTAGGTATATTTTAAATTACCGTATGTGTAACATGGATTACTAAATTATAGAGAATGAGAATGCAGTAAAATAACTGACTCAGACTTTGTGGGTTCTGATGGTTTTAGTTATCCTTTTCAAGAAATTAAATATGGACAATTTTGATATATTTGTGCCTACCTTTAAAAAACCCAAATAACTTAAAGTTCTAAAATTTCAACATTAGTAAATTGTTCTTTTAAGCATTGCTTCTTTTATAGACCACTTTCTGTGTTCCTTTAAATCAGGGGTTGGCAAAGTATAGCTTCCTGGCTAGGTTCTGCCCTCCTGTTTATAGGACAAGAGCTGAGGATGATTTTTAGGTTTTCAAAGGTTTGTAAAATAAAAATTAAAAACAATATGCAGCAGGGAACATATTACCTATAAAACCTAAAATATTTACCATCTGGCCATTTATAGAAAGTTTGTCAGTCCCTGCTTTAAATAGTGAATTTCCCTCACTGGAATTTAAAATACAAAACAATTTTTAAAGATTTGAAAGAAGAGCACATACTGGTATATTATTTCTCAGAAATACATTTTTTTTTTCTTCTTTACAGCACTGGGTAGGATGAATGCTATAATAAATGGAGTCAATCATTTGATCATTTTATTCAAATTCCACTTACGAAGTTTAGGCTTTGTAGAGTGTTTGCTTTGGGTTTTTTTGTGTTTCCCCTCCCCACATACCCATCAGAATCTTACTCATTATGTCTACACAAAATATTTGTTTTCATTTATAACTGTTCTTTGATTTTTGCCACTTTAGGTAGTAACTTTACAGACCTCACTGCTTAAATTAGAGCCTCCTGACCATGTTTGTTTGGCAGTGCTTGATTTTGTATCTTCTCTAGGAAAATTTTTTATACCTCAAGCTTTTCAGGTAATACTCTTAATTCTTTTGTGCCTGTGTTAACAAAATCCCTGTAAGAATTATTAAAATTCTCAGGCTTTTAATTTCTTGAATTCTGTGGATTGTTGACAATGAAAGTTGGGGGAGAAAATGTATTTTGTGAAGAGATAGTCACTTTATCAAAATAGAACTCATTTTAAGTTTTCTTTTAGAAAAATGTATTTTGACATACAAATAATTTAGAGTTGGCTGTAGTCTGACAGGTTGGTGGATTCATCAACATTTAAGAAGCCTTTAAAGCGGGAGATGGATTGATTTATTCAAGAAAAAATTTCTTGAATTTTTGCTATGTGTCACGTGCTGTTTTAATAATTGGAAATTCATTAATGAATCCACCACCCTCAGCCTGTGGAAGGCAACTAATAAAGCTATGATGTAGCGTGTTATTTTGAGTGCTGTGGAAAGAAATCAGAGGAGCATGAATGTGGGGATATGGTTTTAAGTAGGGTATGGGCAGTGGTGTCCTCACCAAGGTGACCCATGAGTAAAATCCTGAAGTTGAGCAAGTCATGCAGGTATCCTGCATGTAAGGGAAACAGTAAGCCTGATGCTTCTGAGATGAGAACATGTCTGATATCCTGAGGGGAGCCTGAGAACATGTCTGATATCCTGAGGGGAGCCAATAGAGCCAAAACACAGGCAGTGGGACTTTGTAGGCCATCATAAGGACTTTGATTTTTACTCTGAAAGAAATGAGAAGCTATTGGATGCATTTAAGCAAAGGACTGACATGCCCTAACACGTACTAATATGTGCCCACTGGGACAGGATTAGGGGAGCTTGACAATATTAAGGATAGAATACTGAAGTTTTCCTCTATTTAATAAGGTTTGGTTTTCTTTTTAGGACAAAATTCTGCCCAACTTGTCTTCTATTTTTGACTTCCTGCTAGCTGACAGGAATTGGATAATAGAACAACATACCTTGGAGGCATTTACTCAGTTTGCCGAGGTAATTTTAAGACCAACATATCACAGTGACTCCCAAACTATCTTATTTCAGGTATTCCAAAACCTTCATGGAGCAACTTTTGATCTTAGTCATTACCAATGACTAAGGAGGAGATATTACCAATGATCTATTTTGTAGTATCCAACAGGGCATAAAGAAATGAAGGTACTTTCCTAAGGTCCTAGGAGAGTAGTAACAACCAGAACCATGCATTCCGACCAGGCCTATTAACTCACTGTCTTCCAGACAGTATTTTTGAATGTGAAATGAATCGTGCATTTCACTTCAAAATCATACAGGAGTTAGGTGGATGAACACAGGGACCTGTGAGCTCGGGTCCATGGAGGTGAGCCTCCTGTGGGATGCTCCTCTTCTCTTGCCAGTAGCTGTGCAGTCACACCTTGGCATATGAGGACCTATAGACATTAGGATGACTGGGCAAAAGTAAGCACAGCCTATAGCCCTGTGCTCAAGCAGAACACCGCGTGGTCCCTAGACTCCCCAAGGGAGCTATGAGCTGATGGTCATTTGAGTCACTTCTGACACAGTTTTTTAAAATGCATTTCTAAAAAATAAAAAAATAAAAAAAAATAAAATAAAATGCATTTCTGCTGCATTTCAGCCCTTAAAACTTATGTAGTTGGCTTTGCAAGTTGTTGAGATACGTTAAAATTGGTCTTGTTTATCGATCTTTTAATAGGGAACAAATCATGAAGAAATAGTTCCACAATGCCTCCGTTCTGAAGACACTAAGAACAAAGTAATATCCTTTCTGGAGAAGGTATTTATTTCTATAGATTAAAATAGCAGCCACAGATTTTGTCATTTTTTTTTTAAATTGTATGATTATAACCATACATGTAAATGTGACCTAGTGTTCAGCACAGAGGTGACACACATTAAGCAGCTGGGACCGTGTGACAGGTTACAGTAGTGGAGCAGTCACACAGCGTGGGCTCTGGTAGCATTGCTCATTCAGGCAGTAAGAGCCCGGAAGCAGCTCCTGCTCAGACTAGGCCTCTTGCACAACATGTTTACCACTCGAATTTAAATACAATTTATATACATAGTTTTTCCATACAGAGATGAAGACTTAGTTTTCCAAAAAATGACATTTTTAAAGCTGTTCTTTTTTTTTTTTTAATTTAAGATTTTATTCATTTATTTGACAGAGCAAGAGAAAGAGCACAAGCAGGGGGAGAAGCAGACTCCCCACTGAGCCGGGAGCCTGATGTGCTTCCATCCCAGGATCCCCGCTGGGATCATGACCTGAGCCAAAGGCAGATGCCTAATGGACTGAGCCACCCAAGTGTCCCTAAAGCTATTTTTATAGTTAGAACCAAACTTGTTCTGTCATTTGGCTTCCATGTTTGTGCACACCTTGCAACTTACGTGGGGAGTTTTAGGATATAAGGACTAACTTTAACACTACTAGAATAGTTAAACCACAAATTTAGAAGACTGGGAGAAAGTGAATTATACTTATTTTTTATACTATACTCGTTATTAAACTGGGTTATGTTTTTATATACACATATACGTTACACAGAAGCTGTGTGTGTACATGTTTTTGCCAGTTGCTTACCCTATACTGTGAAGGTTTGCAGACTATCATTTTCTTCCCCTGGAAAAACAACACTCAACATTTTTGTAGGGAAGAACGCTGTATAGTAATTTTATCCAGATTATACAAAGATGATGCATTTACATGAGTCCAACTTCCAAAATTTGCCTAGATTACAGACTAATCCAGAATAGTTTAATACTAGGTGCCTACACACACGCACGCACGCACACACAGCCTTTTTTTTTTAGTTGAGGAGGAAGGGCAGAGGAAGAGAGAATCTTAAGCAGACTCCATGCCCAGCACGGAGCCAATGTGGGAGCTCAGTCTCACAACCCTGAGGTCATGACCTGAGCTAAAATCAAGAGTTGGGACTGAGCTACTACCCAGGCACCTTGGCCTTCTCATTTTCTGAGTATTAAACCATTTGCCACCTATTAGAGAATGCTTGATACTCACTTGATTTTTCATCATCTGTGGCAGACTGGCTTTGTAGAGGAAACTGCAGCTGCTGGAGTGGAACGTGTGAAACAGGAAAAAGGCATTTTCTGGGAACACTTGGCTAAAGTTCCTGTAGAAGAAGCAAAGTGGTCATCTTTACAGGTACGGACTGCTTTTCAGTATGGGTCAAGCTTTAAGAGAAATTCTGCCCTTGTTGATAAAAAAAATTAGTATGGTTCCTGGCTATCATACTATCATACTATCAAAATATAATCAAATAGATCTAGACATATAAAATTCTCCTGTTTTACAGTAGCTGCTCTTTTAAAAATTACATTTCTTCCTCCTGAGAGGTTATCAACACATAGAGCAGAGGTGGGACTACAAAAAAAAAAAAAAGTTTTAGATATCATACTAGGTCATACACTCTTTCAATATGACTTTCAGTTGTTTCTAGTAACTTTTAGGAAGGTGAAGCTACAAATGTAGCAGTTTCTGAACCACAGAAGAAAACCAATGAACTCACCTTCCAGAATGTTTAGGTTGATCCCTTGCCTCCTTCATCAAACCAGCCTGAATAATTTCTGACAGTGTCCAGAAATCCTATCTTCCTATTATAAGGCAGAAGTCTGATACCACCAAGGATGTTGTTTTGAGCACCGGTAGTATATTTAGGATAACGATCCGTAAGAGGAACAATATTCTGGTTTTAGTTAGAACTCTTATATAAAGAACTTAAGTTTATGTTAGTAACTTGTTTTCAAGACATATTTAACTTTATAGATTTCAGGCCTAAAAGTTTCATAGCAGTGGTATAAATAAGCCCTCAAGAATTTATTATGATCTTCCTTATTGGGAAGACCATGATTACTAAAGATGTGTTGGCCCAGATCTCCCCCTGCCACCCTTTCCAGTGCACTGATGCTAGAAAGCCTGACAATTTTTAATTGGGTTGAAAAGCATCTGAAAGGCCATAGCACTTAGCATTAAAAAGTAAACTGGAAAAAAAAAAAAAAAGTAAACTGGAATCATTCAGAAGATGCATACCTGGGGCTTTTTTTGTCAGAACAGATTACAAGATATTTCCAAAGAGTACTCATTGGAAACGACTGGATGAGGCAGCATTCCTGTTACTTTCCTTGAACCCTAACAGTAATAGCACCCCGAATTACTGTGACAAATGAGAAATGCCTTTGCATAGTATCTAGGTGATTACGGGCTTGGAGGTTCCCTCCTGTCCTTGTGAACCAATGACGAAATAAAATGTGCACATAAAACTCCCAAAAGTTCTTTTATCATCTTGGGAATGGGTACCATGGCACTACTTATCGTATGTTTTTCTCATTTGCCAGCCTTATTCAAAAAGAGCCCGTCATGAGTTCCCCTTGGAAGAAGAGTATAGGTCAGCATTGCAAGCAGCATCAGGGGCCCTGGAGGCAATTGAGTCATTACTCCAGAAGTCTCCTGCTCCAGAATGGTTTCTAATGAAAATGGAGACCCTCCAAGAAAGGATTGATGAGCTAAAACGACGTGTACTCTAGGGTGGCCCTTAAATGGATTGGACCATGTTACTCATACATAGATAGAACTGGGTATGATTTTTATCATCCTACACTATATTTTGTAAATGAATATATTGATGTAAGTATGCATTTTCTAACACATATAAAACAACTTTTGTAAAGTTGAATCTAGTGAAAATATTCTTTATTGGACATTTAGCGAACAGGTGGGGGGGTGATATTTCTCAAGAAGAACTTTGGTACAGTGTAATACATGTGGAACAGTCAAAGACTGCCCAGGTACCCACAGGGCCAACAGATAGTACAACTGTAAACAAATAAATAAGCTGCCTAAGGAAACCTTAGCGATTTAAAATCATTTATATACTTTACAGCTAAAACTTTTTCAGTAAGTTGTATTTCATAATAAAGCTTACTCTTCTGTTAAAGAAATGGCACAAAATTAAGCTAATCAGCTTGAATTTTTGTATTTATTTTCTTCTGGAATTGTCCTGGAAAAAAGCAGTAAATTCAACCTTTCCACAGCTACTTGCTCTTCACAGAAACTGGCCTTAGTCAGACGCACACGGGCTCCTCCTCCAAGAAGCCAGCGCTGAGCCTCTTCACCGCCGGGGTGCTAGCCAGCACTCGACCACTCACACTTCAGTTGGCACAGATGGGAGAAATGGATGCTTTTGGGTTTTCTTGTCTGCAGAGCCCGCTTTTGAGGTATTAGTTTGATTTTTTTTTTTTTTTTTTAAGAAATCCTTTTCCCTAAAGTTATACCCGTTGTCACCAGTTATTATCTTCCCAGTTCAGCTCCCCTTCATCTCCCCAGCCTTCAGACTCTCCCTGCAGCAAGACAGAGCAAATCAAGGGCAGGCTGCTGAGACAAATCATTTCTGGATGTAAAGGGACCTAACACTTGCCAGAAGACAGCCCCCACGCTAAGTAAAATAACTTATTCTAAAAGGAAGCTGCAAAGTAGGATTACTTTGGTTCCAGAGTTACAAAACCACAGCACTTGAAGTTAACTTCCCAAGGGCCATATATGTACAATTAAATTGATTTGATGACACCCTATTCTTAGGTTTAACCCCTTTTAATCAATGGGTTCTAAGAGTAACCAGTGGCCCATTAAACACTTAGTCTAAGCATTGCTTTTTTCTGGGGAAGGAAAGATATCATTTATAGGAACTCATTGCATTCATTTGTGCTTCACCCGTCACTGTAAGCAACTGTGTACATCAGTCTCTTCCCTCATTGAGAAAACAGCATGTCTGTTATAAATGAGACAGTGCAACTGGTACATATCCCTTAAATTAGTACGATTTACTAATCCTCACCTCAGTAATCTCTGCTGCAGCAAATTTTGAGGAGAACTGCATCACTGTTGAGACGTCATCCTTGTTGGAAACCATCATTTCTGTCCTCAGTTCAGGCAAAATAAGAATAGCAGCTGAAGGTTTAATTTCTGGAATCATATCAGCAAACCAGTCCAACTCTGGATCTTGTACTGGCTTCTTTTTTACTTGGATGGTAAATTCCTCTCCTAAACCAAGTTCTGATGGAGCCTTAAGGCGCCTTTCTTGTGATGACATGTTCGGTGGCTTGGTTTGGTCTGGATTGTCCCTGCTTTGTGCATGATTAGTCTTTTGGGGTGGACTTGATTTTAAAGGCCTGGACTCTTCAGTGAGTGAAAGCAAAGTAGGAATGGCCTCCTGCTCCCCTGAGGTGCACGGTCTAACAGCTGGGACTCCATCTCTCGCACTTATTTCAGTATCTGTGCTGCTGGGTTCATAGTCGTCCCAAGCCACCGCCTCCACCATGTTCAAGTTAGTGAGCGGGGATGTGGAGGTCTTGTAGGCTTCTGTGGGACAACTCTGGATGCTGACAGTTTTGTTTTCAGGCTCCTCAGGCTCACTCCAATCAGGCCACTCCTCAGACTTTTTAGAATCTGGTGGGAAGTTCTCACCATCTCCAGAGTTATTTTTCACATCTGAGACTCCATTCATGGGAAACTTAATAGGTTGAGGAAATTTATCACCTGTGGGGATATGTACAGAAGTTATTTTCATAAAGTATTAAGAGCAAGTAATATATTTAGGAAAAGGTTAACACTTTAAAAAAATGTATGGCTCTAATTTCATAAAAATATCCAGGTTACTAAATTGTACCTGCAAAAGAGATATCCCAGCAGAATGTAACAAATACGCGAGGCAGGTTATTCAGATACTTTAACTAGAGCTTATAATTCTTCACTAAATATTCAAGCGTATTGTTTATTGGTGTATTATCTATAAACAAATATAGAAATGTTCTAAGCCAGGCAGTGTTAACCCCAAAAAGTGTTGTGTGCTCAAATAAGTTTGCCTTAACCCAACATAGTATCTCTTTTATTTTTTTTAGAAGGGCGGGGGGGGGGAGGGGTGGCAGAAGAGAGAAAGAGAGAATCTTAAGTAGGCTCCATGTCCAGCACAGAGGGGCTTGATCTCAAGACCCTGAGATCATGACCTGAGCTGAAATCAAGAGTAAGATGCTTAACCAACTGAGCCACCCAGGCAACCCTAACATACCCTCATTTTAATCAGATTTCCTTAAATGTAGTCAAGGTCCTAGAATCTTGCACAATGAGTGTAGTGTGTTAGGACTCTTGCTACTAACATCTCCCCAAACTTACTTAACCACACAACTCTCTTTTTCATGGCATACCTACTGCCATCTAACAGAATTAGCATCCTCTGATACAGTTTGGAAAATGTTGCACTAAAGCACCAGAAGTACCAAAATAACGTCAGCTAGCTCTCCTTACCAGTTATGAAGAAATGGTAGGTATATAACCTGTAGTCCAGGAAAAGCAGAGGACACCCCAGCTGACTGCAGTTATACAGAAATCAGCCTCGTTATTCCCAAACTGCCCTTAATTTTTAGAATTTAAAACTCTGTACTCAGGAATAACATTCATGTAACAGTGGAAAAACTATATAAATTGAATATTTCTACCTGTCTGTAAAAGAGTATTGTAGCAATCTCGCTGTATCTGCTTCTTGCTGATGGGCATGCTGCCAGAAAAGAAACATTTAGGGAACATGCCAGAGGAGGGGTTCTCCAAGATTGGCGCCGTCTGACTCTGCTGGCTACAGAAGACGTGCGGGGGAGAATCTGAAGATAAATAAAAACTCCCAAAAATAAAAAGGATAGTAAATAGCTTCTTGCTCTGTCAGGGTAAGTGAGTAGCAGGGGAAATGGGTATATTTAACACAGATAAAGGATAAGTTGCAGAGAGAATCTTTAAATATCTGAAGAAACACACTTATTACAGAATGGCCTGCCTGTGTCCTCAAGGTGTTTCAGGGCAGGCTGAGGTCTACATGATGGTAAGGAACTTGAAACGGTTCAAGCATTGGGTGAGCAGTTGGATTAGATATAACCTTTAGAATACCTAATTAAAAAAATTAACAGCCACTGAACATTTTGTCAATTTAAAATAATTGATTCTACTTTAAAAAAAAAGTCTAAGAATACAAGCACACCAATGTGAATGTACTTAATGCCACAAACTGTACAGTAAAAATGGTCAATTTTATGTTACAAACATTTAACTCCCAGCTGGGGAAAAAAAATGTTTTGAAAAAAAATGGTCTTTAACAGTTTGCCAGAAAATTCATACTCAACAGTGGGCTTTGGTCAAAAGGATTCCAGCAAAATTTTTGGTTTAATACTTCCTATGCCTAGGTAGGTCATCACAGGGAGGCCCTGCCTGACCTCTGCAAGCCCTGTAGCCTCTTGCCTGCTTCTGCCACCACCCTCCCTGCTGAGGGTCTCCCAGGGTCTCCTCCAACTCTCCTCCATCCAGACTGACTTCCCTAATGTAAGTAAGATACTACCCTTTTCATAAACCTCAATATTATCCCATATGAAGTCTGACCATATAGTGAAACTGCAGAAGAACAGAAGGAGGAAAAAGTTTAAGGGTAGCCTCCTGTATCCATGCCCCCTCCCCAGCATTCTCTCTCATCCTTCAGAAGAAGGACCACTCTAGCTATGAACTTGAAATGCAGGCTGCAGCCAGGGGTCGACAGCCATCTTGGATGAAGAGTTTAACTACTTTGGGAAGTCAGTGGGATCAGACCTTGATCTGTTTTGTAAAGTATCCAGGAACATCTCTTTTAATAAAAATTCATTTGTTACTCCTGCTTTTGGTGCCTTTTTGGTTTCTGACTAAGATTACACGTCAATAGTATATAAAATGTCCAGAACTAGGAAACTGCATCTAATAAATAAAACAGTTAAGAAGAATGGGGACTCTTGCTAATTCAACATGCAAAGCTGCCCTGAGATGGACTCCCACAGTCTTATCTCAAAATAGCACATACCACCGCCACCATCCCCTCAATGTTCCTCTGTTAGGAAATATAAATAAATCTCTCATTTGCTGTTTGTTGTACTCTGCTAAGAGAAAAACTGGTAACACACGGCCTTCATTCACTCAATGCAGTGTGAACATATCCTGGCAGGAGAGGAGGGAGCAGCTTCTTCATGACTTTCTGCAAATCTGGACACAGACTTCATTGGCACCATGAAGACTTGGACCCATCAAAACTTCAGAAAGCCAGTGTTGCTTTAAAGATTCTCTTGGCATCAAAATTAGGGGAAAATCTGATAGGTCTTTTCTACTGTAACTATTTGGATAGTATCAAATACACTATCCACGACAACTGAACCAGAGATCTGCATTTCCTCACAAGGTCACCATCTGATTCTAGGTTATACCCAGGACCAAAGAAGCAATAATGCTGATATAAAATTCTTGACTTTTACTGCCTACAAAGACCAGAAATTAATGCTCCGTCCCATGTAACATCCAATGGGAATAGCCCAGAAATAAAGATTTCTTGAAGTACCTAAAAACCAACAGCTCTTTACTTAAAAGGCCATCAATACCAGAAAAATTTGAATATCTAGTGTTATAAGGTGCTATAGCCCTTTTAGAAGCTGACAGTATCTATTAAAATTTTAAATATACATCATTTGACTCAGTGGGTCTACTTCTGGGACTT